TTTCTTATAATTAAAATCTGCATACAACTAAATTGTAACATACTCACAATATCACCTTTTATGTGAATTGAGGTTCTTGACAAATTCTGGTTTTATACCACTGCTCAGCTCCAGTAGAATCCAGATCGAGTGGCAAACACTGCAGTTTAATTACTTTCAGTCTTTCATTTATCTAACCCCACACTTGTCAAATACTGGCTATGTAACTTTGTCTGTGTAACTGTGAAAATAATTTCCTGTTTTTTACTATTTTGCAGAGCACATGGGTTTTAGTACAGTGGGATACCTGCTGTAGAGGGATAATTATTTTGTATTTCTTCTGTAGCTGATTTTGACGCTTAGAAGTTTTAAGAAATGTGATATTTTTACATGAGAAAGAACTTTGCCTTCTGGTGGCAATGCTGTGCCAAAGGAATTTAATCCATGTGTCAGTTTCTAAATATAAAATGTATTGCTATGAAACTTAGACAAAGCATGCCTCCAGTTGAGCAGGGTCAGTGCACAAGGTTCTTGTAAAAAAACACACACACACACACATTCTATGTGACAACAAAACAGTTAAATCCTAGAGAGATCTAATTTATATTAGTGGATTTCACATAATCCTAGATGGTAGATTTTGTTTTTAACAGATGTTGTCTCACTAGTAGCGAATCCTCCCTATTTTTATTTAGCTTGTGCAGGAAGAAGTACAGCCTTCCTTATTCCATTTGTCTTATCTTATCCCTTCACACCAAACATAATTGCCCTGTTCCCAGCCCATACAATTTTAATGCTGCTCAACAGCCTTGCTTAGTTTCATTCTCTTCCCATTACAGCCTTTGAAAAGCTCCTATAATGAATAAGCAGTTCATGAAATACATTTCTAATGTTTTTGTGTTCCACTAGTTTGAAGTAATTCCTAATCAGGATGACTTACTGCCACAATCCTTGTACTAGAACAGATGACAAGAGGTACAGTATACACACAACCTCCAAAACGTGCACTAGACAGGCTTCATATTGTTAGCTCAAAGCACCAACATAGGAAACTAGTGCAATGAAGCGGAAGACAAATGCACCTCTCTACGACTATGCTACAAACTCATGACCGCCAGGCAAACCAGAGGGGCACACTGTGGTGTGATAAATTGAGAATAAGCTGGCCATTGTAAACTAGCCACAGCAGTGTTCATCCAAATATTCCCCTCTGCCTGACACAAACAGAATCTTAACCACCAGTGTCTGGACTGTTGGGATTAGTGAATGTGCAAACATGCCTTTACTGGTGGAATCATTATGGGCTTTTAAGTATTTTTATCATGCATGTACAGAAATAGGAATATGTGCAAACAATTGCAGTCATTAGCAATTTAACTTCTGCAAACATAATAGAACTATTTATATAATGCATGCACAGAAACAGGAATATATGCAAATAATTGCAGTCATTAGTAGGTTTACTTCCTCAGCTTTAATATAACATAACATTTGGAGCCTGATTTCAGACATCGTGGTTGTGTAATATACAATTGCAGAAGTGAATAGCCTATGGACTGCAGAGATTCTCCTGGCTTATCAACCTGCTAATATAAAAACAGCAGATAACAGGTCAGAAACTACACACTTTTCTAAATAACTAGCTAAAATGTTGAACTTGCAAGAAAGTAGGTTATCCCGACATTCCCTTGTTCCTCATTGGTTGAAGTTGTACTTCTCCTATCCCAGCGATTTCTTCGTTTCAAGCCAACCAGTATCCTCCAGTTAATGCTTAATACAATTACATTCAGTATTCAAGTTCAGTTGTTCTGTGTTTGTTGGGTTATAAAACAATGCCTGCTGATTTTGTTACAGCAATCCTTCTACTTTAGAATATATATGAATATAATAACTTTAGAATTATTTATAGAATAAATGAAAATGTAACAATACATGATTTCAGCGCTTATCAATTATGCTCTGAAACGGGGGGCCTCTCCCCTCTCTGAAATGAAGCTTGGTGCTTAATTTTAGAGAGGAAAGTCACCAACATATGCTTTCTCATTAGATGGAGTTAGAGGAAAGACCAACATTCAGAAGAACTGACGATGATCATTTTGCTTAAAAGATGCTTCCTCCATATGACAGAGTGTGGGCATGTGTGCAAGGCAGTAGGCCTCATTATTGTTTTTGTGAATAAGATTACCATAGCTACTTCCTAGCATAAAACAAACTTTCTATAGAACACTCTCTGCTGTATTTAGCTAAAATATTCATCATAAAGTGAGTTCTAGGGTGAATGTGTGATCAGTTAAGTCAGTCGTTGATATATAACCAACAATGTAATTTTAAGTAAAGACTGGGATCTATGTGTCATGCACAGAGAGATTATTTTTGAAACAGAAGGACGTGGTACTATTTGCAGAACCCAGTTCTAAATAATACTTCACATACTGCACAAGCAATTTAATTTTGCTTCATATATTTCTGTTATAACACGTAAGATGAAAAAGCCAAGGAGCTCATCCAACACATATGGAAGACAGGGAGGTTAAATTGCAGCACTGTAGCTCGGGTGACATGGCAAAGCTGCTGTAGATTCCCTTGTAAGATATCAGCAGTGGTGGTTCAGCCTAGGCCTGTTCAAAGGCAAGATTAGGTCAGGGCTCTTCATGTTTGCAATGTTTTCATGTGACTTTTATAACTATAGACTTTTGTACATTATGGCTTATTTACACTAGATGAGGCTGGAGGCTCGATATTTTCAGTGCTTTGATGGATGTCCAAGTTAATAGGAAAAGACTGGTTGGCTTTACAAAATTATAATGTACTTAAAGTCTTTCATTTCTATTAAATTTGAAAACTAAATCTAATTCGGTTTTCTTTTATCTTTACACCAAAGAGTTGTACGTATTGGTGTGCCTTGATATACAAATATTAGATTAATTTCATTAACGTGTGTTAATGAACACACGTGTATAGTTGTATGATTCTTTTCATCAAAGAAAGAAGAGGCGAAATGTTTCTGTCAGAGGCAGAAAAGATCAAGATAAACGGAAGATTTGATCAATCAGCGCATACACTTGTGAGGACAATTTATTTTTCATAAATCCCAGGAAGCAGAAGTCAAAATTCCAAAACATTAAAGTTTTAAAAAATCAAACTGCAACTCTGCAAGCAGGATGTGACAAATTTTAAAAAAGGACCCATTTTAAGACTTATTTACTGATAGGTCAGCTCAGACTGTGATTACAAGGATTTTTTTCTCCATTAAAAATTCCTAAATGTTCACATCTGCATAAATAATGGTTATTATTATTATTAAGGTTCACTTATTTAAGACCCCGAAGACTTTTGTAACTGTTCATAAGCCCTCAGTTTCGTGACTGGCAGGGAAATTTGGTGCATTCTACCTTTTAATACATGTATCTGCCACTAGAAATAACAAAGTGCACCTTTGTTAAAAGCAATTGTATTAGTTGTAGCAGGTGATTATTTGTTTCTGTCATCTACTGTCATGCAGCATTTTTCTTACTGAGAGGATTTTTTTTTTCAGAATCAATTGTCTAAAACCTGTCACTATATCTAATTATTACATTTTCTAAAAGGGATTTAACAGCCTGCACAACAGTAGCATGTATTCTGAGTTTCAAAGTAAATCTACTGTATCACGATGCACGGATGTTGTTAGTAAAATGACATAAAAGCAGAAGGATAGAAAAAATAGAAATAAAAATAAACAGATTTTGCACAGTGATTAAAGGTTTTTTTCCTGTGATTCCTTGCAGGATTCCTTGCCTGTAATTGTGATGATTTTGCGTGAATGTTACATACTTGAGCAAAGTTGACTTGTGAGCAAGCACTAAATCACCTAATTAGTGAGAGAGATAATTGGGCATAGACGATAAGGCGATGTAGTTTGTTAAATATCAAGCATGGCTAAAAGAGAGAGAGAAACTCAGAAAGGATCCGAAATGGCCTGCTTATCAATGGAATAACATCTTCTCCGTGCCTTTGGTGAATTGTTGGCTGGTCTAAGTTATCTCAACTGGACGTCAAAGAATGTGGCACATTTTTACACGACAGCATACTAATTGTTGTGGGCAAAGACCGATTTGATAAGTTGATACAACAGTGATGGTCTAGGAAGGTGTGTTTAGACATGACAAAATATGTAGCATTAATGTCAAACTGACTGCATGGGCTACATACAGTAGATGAAGTCTTAGGACCTCACTTGCTGCCCTGCTTGAAGGCTTATCCTGATCTGAACATATTCCAGCAGGACAAGGCATGTCCTCGTCCTCGTCCTTGTGTAACAGGGCTTTCCTGTACGATGAGAATGTGACACTTATGCTGTGGACATAACATGCTTGTCCAGGACTTAAGAATAAATGATGAAACATGAAACTGGGGAAAATACTATACATGGAAGTGCATTTAAAACAGGATAGGGGGCCATTTTTAGCTCAAAGAGTTGTGGGAGTATGGATCTAACTACAAAGCCATGTAATTTAACAAGATACCCTTGAATAAGTTACTAACTACCAAATGGGCTATTTGTTTGGGCATTATGTTCTTAAGCAAGCAGTTCAATAGGAATCGGGCAGAATCGCACAAAACAGCTTCTGTAACCTGGTGCTTAGCATGGGTTAAGGGCTGATCATACTGAAGTATTTATCAATTGCAAGTTTTAATACTAGATTTCCATGGAATTGAGTTTTGCTGCCTGATCTTACTGTGGGTTTATCATCAGACTGCAAATACCCACACTTTGGGTTCCTTAGAGTGGTGCATGCTACTGAGGATTAGAGTGATGTCAAAGTAAAAGGAACACAAATATTTAAAAAGGAACACACTTTAGATTTTCTGTGGAGCACCTATGACCTATGTTTTGTGTGTTTGTCTCACAGGTTCAGCACAGTCAGCACTATGACTGATGGGGACTATGATTATCTCATCAAGCTCCTAGCTCTGGGAGACTCAGGAGTTGGAAAGACCACCTTCCTATATAGATACACTGACAATAAATTCAACCCCAGGTTCATTACCACAGTGGGAATCGACTTCAGGGAAAAGAGAGTGGTAGGTATATCTCCTTTTCTTATTTCCTTTTATTGTTTTAAAGATATCCAAGCTATCCTGAATTCTGCATTTTATATTAACGAGGAGATTGTTCATTAGAAACTACGCCTCAACCATATTACCCTTCCTTTTTGTAAACTGTATACAATTACATAACATTTTCCACAGGTCATAAACCTCTCGGAAGCACAGAAAAACCAAGGGAGCCAAGTAATCCGACACCTACTGTATAAATGCAGACCGTAGTGATGTACTGTACTAAAGCAAGGCCAAGGGCTAATGTAAATTTGAAAGCCATCCTTAAAAGACATAGAAATCAGTTTCCATGATTCAGTATCAGGATACTCCTTGAATATTTTAAAGCCCACTCTACAACACTTTGAACATTCTCAAAACGATGTGATGTGAAATTTACATTTTAAAGATACAGATATGAGAAGCATAGTGGTGCAGTGATTAGCATAGCTGCCTTGCAGCACTGGGTTCAATTTCTAGGGTGCTATCTGTGTGGAGTTTATATATTCTCCCTGTGTTTGTGTGAGCTGCCTCTGGGTGCTTCAGTTTCCTCCCACAATCCAAAGACATACTGGTAGGTTGATTGGCTTCTGGGACAATTCACCTCGCTAAAGAGGTTAGAAAATGGATGGATAGATACAAAAATAAATATTGGTACTAAATTGTGAATTTAAGAAAGGGTTTGGGGCATATTTTCATTTCAACATTTTTAGGTAATAATACACTTGAATCAAAGTAATCTTTATGGCCAGGATTTTGCTGGTTATTAATTTGAGGATTTACTGTAATCACTTCCTCTTTTGAAAAAATATTACATGTTCATACCACATCAAGAGAAAGGTGCTGATAGTGAGCTATTTTTGGCATTTCCAGGAACATAATGTTGTATAGTTTACATTCTTGGCAATGTCCAATGAATATATCTTTACAATATTTGATTTTAAATCTAACCCTCCTTTCTTGTGGTCTAAATGACCTACTTTTTATTTCAGTCCAAAAGCAACTGAGAGGGCATTGACAATTAGAGCACATTCTTCTGAAGGAAAAATAAAAAGCAAAACAAGACTTAAGTATATTCCTACTAAGTATGAAATGCATGCAGAAGCATTCCTCAACTACATTGCTTCTCATATCTAATCTGAATTCTAAAATTGCTGAGCTAAAGTAAGTCTTTCACATAAATAATCCAGTTTGTCTTTAGGTTTTCACTAAGAGTTTATATAACTGCTTTCAGAAGGTAGTGCATTATTCCTATGTAAATTTGTTTTATTCCTGTTTCATTTGTGTTTGCACTTTGTGCCATTCCGTTATTAAATTGTACTCAGTAATAGCAAAGCAAAGGCAGGATGTATGTCACAAATGCTAATGCAGGAAATGCTTCTACAGAAAGCTTTAATATGGGCAAGATATTAGAAAGTAAGGATTAAAATAAGTCAAGGCAAATTACTACACACTCCTTATATTTCTTTATTAGACTGTACAATTGATACATTCTTATCACAAATATCTGCTGTCCTTGCATTGATTGCATTGTTTATTGACTCACTCATTGACTGTACAAAAGTTCCTCTACTTGGATCCATAAAGCATGCCTTGCCTTGGAACAGTTCAGCAGTTGCCAAACTGCAAATACTGTAGGTCCCTTTTTTTGGCTGTATTTTTCATTTCTGTTTTTTGTTTCATTTAAATAGATTAATAAGCTTGCTGTGGTTACATTTATCAACCATAATTTAATCATAGAAGGCAGTGAAACTGGTCTCTAAACAAAGGGGTGTATTTTATCTTGAAAGCAAAAAAGCCTTAATTCTGATTGAATTCTTCTAAGATGAAATTTATAAATGGCATTTGCAGATAATTCCCCTCTTTCCAAAAATACACACAGTACACCAATTTATAAAGTGGGTATGCTGAAGATGTTCTAGCTCTGGAGTATTTGAAATGGGCTAAAAGATTCTAGGATCAGCAAGATTATGATGTTTGTTGTCATTGTTTTAAAGGTGAGTTCTTAGATTTTCAAAGTGTGGTGTAACTACATGATTTATGTTCTACAACAGGATATACTGTAAACATATTTCTTGTGCACAAATACAGTGAGTTGATATTTAACATGGAAAATGAGAAAAAAGATGACTTATCTCTTTAGTTTTTCAGTGACAATCTCAGATTTGTAAATGGTTTAAATTTTGAATTAATACCGATGGCTGTTAAAGCAATGAGATTTAAATACACATTGCCATTGTGTATCCTTTATTTCCTACTTGTTGTAAATGATCACTGTTGATCAAGATCCAGTTTAGCAATTTCTCCTTTCTGCTTAAGCATTTTCTGTTTGTATTTTAAGATTGGTTTTTAAGTTTTCTTTAAATGCTTCAAGTGCTAAGTGTCATGTGAAAATGTATGTCCACATCTTTCATAAGTAAAATCAACATTAACTCTTTAGTATATTGACAGTAGACAATAGATGAAGTTTATAACAGAATTTTGGGATTACATCTACTCACCTACATACAATGCTTATAATTTAAAAGTCTTTACATCCTTTCCAAAGTTACACATTCTGTGGCTTAACAGCTGGACATTATATCAGAATTTATTCTGACTTTATTATGCAGTACATATCCTCTAATTGGGGAAAAAAAGCTCAAATATTATGAAAAGTAATTATAAATAAAAGCCAAGTTGTTAGAAGGACCTGCTGTTGAACTCTTTCTACAACATCAGATTACCTTTAGTCGTTCCTCAGATGCCATCAAGCCACCCTTATGAATTTTATCTCGTATCGTGGTGGAATGCTGCTTCTTATGAGAATTGATAGTGAGGTCTAGTCTGATCATGTTTGTGATAGGGTACAATTGTTTAAAGTTATCAGTTGACATCTTTTACCATCTAACTTCTCCATCTTCTTCTTATTAAATTTAAGCAGGTTCTGTATTACTGCTCTGTACTTATTTAAAGTATTTTTAGTAATGGCAATTACATTAAAAAAAACAAAATAATATTAAAAGTGAACTGTTACAGACCATTATGTAAAATGTGTTGTCATAGCTAAGAGATAGATTTTTAGATTTTTGCTGTAAGTACAGTACCCATACGTAGAATCCTGAAGCTATTGAATAATGCTCCTCTGACAATTATGTCAAGCTGAGAATGCAGCTGTCCCGCAAAGAATAGATTTCTCTGTATGAGCAGGGGTGAATTCTACACCAAAGCAAGATATTTTTAAAAATAAAAGCATTTCCAGAGTGGAGTCATCTTCATTTTGTTAACTTTTTCAAAATGTCAGCATGTGTCAAAGAAGGTTTCACAACCATAACATTTTTTTTACTTTTTATAGTGGAATTAATCTTTAATTGTTCATTTGCAGCTCCTGTGGTGACACATCTCCCCACTCAAAATTAATTTGCATAAGGCTAAACTTGGCCTACGTATAACCTTGATCTGAGTTTATATTTCTCTAGGTCTGTTGAATGCAGTCAATATTGTGACTGGGTCATTGCCATACCTGAAATGGAAATGCAAAGTAACAGTCTGTATAGCTGTTGCTGTGCTTTACCCCCTAGTGAGGATGTGTGTTAATACTGTAAGTTAATACAGGTTTTAGCTACCTTTTCTTAATGTTTTAGGAACAGATTAGTGATCCTTTACATTTTATACTTAATGCTTTTATTTCACATACTGTATGATAACTGTCAAAAGCGTAATGTACAGTTTAATAGTTTTCTCATAATACAGTATGCAGAACCACAGTATAGTGTTAAATAGTGTTAGTATGCTTTCCACATGGCTTCTTTCAGAAGCTAATATAGTGTATTTCATCTTATAGTACAGGAAGCCAGGGGCCATACAGATTCCTACAGGTTTAATGTATTCAATGTTTTTTTGGATAAAATCTTTACCTAAGTTTGCTCATTGCATTCGATTTATTCTTAAAAAGAATACACCGTTGGTAAAATATGATTTTCAACCTAAATTAAAGGGGGTGCCATAAAGGTTTTGATCCTTAATCGAGATTGTAACTACGAAATAATTCATATGAAGGTCCTCATGCATGTATTCATACTGGACTCCTGAAGTATTCTTATCTTCAGATTACAGTAAGAAGGGTACAAAGTGTCGTGTGTATGTGGACTAGTGCTTCGAGCTCTTGGCTCTGGTAACTGGACGGTAATTTGTTCACATACCAGGAGGAAACTGCTGTTGTACCCTCAGGCAAGGTATTTTTCTTTTTTATTCAGTAAGGTGCCCAGGAGTGTAAATGGGTACAAATATAATCAATCAAAGTTTATTTAGTTTATTTATCAAATACACAACAGTACAGCTTGCAGCAGTAATTGCTGGCAATGAAGTGTCTTTTCTGTGAGCTCACCAGGGGGAAATAAAAATAAAAATTGGAAAGTTAAAAGTTACAGAATAAAGTTGCATAATAATAGTGCAATAAAAATTGAATTAAAAAAACTCAATATATATAGAACTACTACATATCCAGGGTGCATGGAATACATTATGTCCAAATAGTGCAATATACAGTGGAAAACTGTATGTAACCTGACCATTTACGAAAGACCATTAGGGTGGCTGCTGAAGGTGACTGCAGCATGGCTGTTTAGCAGTCTTATTGCCTGGAGGTAGAAGCTGTATTATCTGTTGGTCTTTAACTGAGTGCTTCGATACCGTTTTCTGGACAGTAGGAGAGAGAACAGTTTGACTTGGATGAATTGGGTTCTTGAGAATAGACATGGCCTTCTTAAGACATCTAGCTGAGAAGATATCCTGAATGTTTTGTAGTTCACAGCCAGTAATGAGCTGCGCTGACTTCACCACCCTCTGCAGTACTTTGCAATCCCGGGCGGAGTAGCTCCCATACGAGGCAGTGATGCAGCCAATCAGGATACTCTCAATAGTGCACCTGTAGAAGCTGGCCTGGATATGTGATGGCATGCCAAACGTCTTTAGCCTGCAGAGATAGAATAGGCGCCGCTGTGCTGTTTTGACCATGACGTTGGTCACTTTGGTTATAAGTGTAACCCAATAAATAATAGAAATAATATTTTAATTTCCTCACTCCTTCCTTATGAGACTTTAATAAGAATGGTAAGAAAGACCGCAACTGGGTATTTATGAAATCTCAGATCAGGTTTATTCTGATAATGTTGTCATTATATTGCCAGTATATCACCAATATTGATTTTATACTGTTGTTAAGCTATCAGGCTGCTCATGCACTGTTTCCAGTTTTTTAATACAGGTGTCGGCTTTTCACAGGTGTACAGTACTTCAGGACCAAATGGCACGACTGGGAAAACCTTTAAAGTTCACCTTCAGCTCTGGGACACAGCGGGACAAGAAAGGTATGCATCTCAATGGATCTTTGTATTTTGATTAAATACAAGTGACAGTCTAACGGGTTAATTTAGTATGCTTGTCAGACATGAGATGCAGAAATAGTAAAATAGATCAAGATTCAGCTGTTTAGGAAAGGTTTAACTCAAACTCGACTTCAATGTTAATCTGCATCATGTTAATAACAGGTTGTAAAGACGACAAGATTTTTGGTTCATTTGTGTCTGTCCATTGTATGCTTGCCTCTGTGACCTTTGAACCTGCTTGTTCAAAGTGCACTGTAGAAGTGCTAAGATGACCTGTCTAATCCTGGGTGAGCACATGGTTAGTGTTAAACATGGGTAGAATGTGGCAGTGTGAGGGGGCACTGGTGCCTTATGAGTTATAAACCCATAATTTCCCTTTAATCTCCCACTAAACAAACCTGTTTATCAATGACAAATCAAATCATCTTATTGAAACTTTTACCTTTCACAAACAAACAGAGCAATGTCAACTGTTCCAAGTCATGTTTATCTTTCCTTACAGTTCCATAAATATGCCTCAGCTTCTGCCTGTAATGAGCCCCAAGAGCTGGAGATGCATTGTACCTATATTTGATTTTTTGTTGTCTTTAGTTTTACAAATCTATATTTAATTTAATCACAGATTTCCATCTGAAAATAGTACTTGTGCTATTTATACACTATGAGACACTCTGTAACACTTTTTCTTGTAAAAATGCAGCAACAGCATAGCATTTCAAATCCTGTCAGCTTTACCATCTTGAGACTGACAGCATTTAGGACAGAGTCTGATTTCTAAACAAATCACAAATGGATGTTTTTTTGTGAAGTTATTAATTGCTGTAGATACAAACCTACTGTGATATAGAACATAAATATCTACTTCTAGAACTGTAAAGGTATCAGTCTTTTTAGATATAGTATAGTTTTAGTAGTAGTATAAAGTATGTATGTGATGCAGTCTGCAAATTTTTCCAATGAAACCTCTGTGCCCCTCATCCCTTTACAAAGTATCCAGCCTTCAATCCATGGGTAAGGTTTGTTTATACTTGGTGACTTGTAGTGATCTTTAAGCCTGATGACAACCAGGTAGTCAAAACGTGAATATTCCATGAGCATAAAAATAAAATGTTCTGCATGATTATATATATATCTCTGTCTTCTGTATATTTTGATTAAGTTCTGCGTCTATAACTAATCCATGCTTCTTTCAGTGTTCAAAAAGTAAACCTTTCATAACAGGAGTCAGTTATTCCCAAACATGATCTTCCAATTCTAAAACCTTCACTGAGGCAACCGGGATCTGGTTTTGGAAAACTTAAGGCTGTTCTGACTCAGGGACTGTGAAAATAGCAACTGCTTTTGCTGTTTTTTCAGATTCAGGAGCCTCACCACAGCCTTTTTCAGAGATGCCATGGGGTTTTTATTAATGTTTGATCTCACCAGCCAGCAGAGCTTCTTGAATGTCAGGAACTGGATGAGTAAGTTCTTCATGTGTTACAGTTGTACTAGTTACATCAAGTACTTTGATTCATACTGATGAATTTCAAAAGGCTTGCATTCCCTGGTGGGTTGTGGACAAAGTATTGGAAATCATAATGTCCAACACAGTAAAATAGAAGTAATAAAAAGATGACTTTTCTGAAGGTGCACAAGTATTGTTTCATTGTATTTGAATTTGTCTTAAGTCATTATGTTTATCTCATGTCAGCAAGGAAAATCTCTTAATAACAACTAAACTATAAAAAAATATTATTACATTTTCCTCAGTGGCTGCAGCTATTACTACAACCCTACCAGCTTCAGCCCTGATCATTAAAGAATTTAGAAGTTTTGTCTTTGAAATCAATTGCAGGAAAGGGGAACATTTGAAAAATCTGCAAATCCCATGGTACAAAAATACATTTTAATGAGTTTGTTTCTTATTCAACAGCATGAAATATTTAAAATGAGACATTAGAAAACACATATTGAAATATGTAACATCTAAGAAAGTAGCAGCTCACCTACAGTATCTGAAACTCCAGCCCTTTGGTGAAATAAACACATTTTACGTTCCTGCACATTGAAATATGGAATTTTGCCAAAACAAAAGAATGCAGTGTTACCAATCCCCAAAATATGGTTGTGCTATAAAGAGAAATTCTTTTAATTCTATATTTATGTATTACTTTTTCCCCCACCTTTTACTGATGGTGAATTACTGTACAAGTTTGACATCTTTGAATCCGTCACAACTCCCTGTCTTGCGCCTCATAATGATTCAATTGATTTCATTTTTAAAAATACTTAAATTCCAAGTCACATTTTATATGTAGTCAACTTCTGTATAAATAAAAGCTACCATTTATACTATATGTCAGACTTTGTTCAGATTTCTTATTCGATATACCAGTGGATCTCAGACCTTGTATTGGCCACCACTGAGTGATGCAGTCACTCACATGATTTATCTGGACCTTTGGAAATGTAGTTAGTTGATGCTGTGAAGTTTAGCCACTAATTATAGGTTGAAATTTCCTAATGCTGGGTTTTCTTCCCATAATATACTGTAAGTAGTAGAACTTTTAATTGGAGTTTATTGGCAAATTTTTAAACATATGTTGATGTGGAATAAACATTGTATTCCTATTCTGTTTTATATATAATATATACATTTTGCAGCACCATCACAGTACTATCCAAAAACACTTAGTAATCAGAAAATTAACAGAGTGTATGTCTCCTTTGTGTGAAGCTCACAGCTTGATACATATAAAATTGTTCAGCTATTGGCCTGCATAAACACATGAAGAAATTCCATATCTTACATGGCTAGCACCAAGACACTTTCCCCATTGAAAAGACTGGCACTGAAAACAATCTGGAAAGGGTTAACAGAGGAAAATGCAACAGATCAATTTCTCAGTTATTAAATGTTTAGTGACATCTCAGTGTTAAAATCTGTATAATATTCAGGAATGCTTTAAAAAGAAGCCTTCACCTCTTCTGTGAAAGTGTTACAAACCACTGATGCCCTCTCACTGGTGTTTAGTGGGATGTGCAACCTTTTGTTTTAAACAAGTAGAGGAAATATGTAAAACTTTTTATTGTTAATTCAGAGAGATTAGTTTGTGTTATGTTAACATAGACATTTCATTTACTCTTTTGATTTTATGGTTTCAGTTTAATGTTGAAACCCTGGTCCCATCATGACTTCAAATCCATTGTATTATAAGTAGCATATTTCTAAATGTTTGGTGCTAGAAGGTTTTGGACCCCTCAAAATAGGCATTTGATTATTGACCACTGGAAGTGGGCTTTTACAGATGTTTTTCCCTGCAGGCTAGTTTGTATCCATTTATTTGTATATTTTTACATTTTGATGAGCCTTCCTATTAACATGTATATTCTACACGTACAGAGCAAAAAGTGATTTTTAAAAAGAAACTGTGAATCGTGCTATCGGATGAATGTGTTGTCTAAGATTGGCCTAATCACAATACATTACATTTTTTGGAAACATTTTACCTTTAAATGCTTGTGTTTTACCCTGCTCCTTCAGCAGCCATTCGCCATTCTCCAAATCACTTCCTCATTTTCGGTCTCAGAATAGTGAGGTAGGAAGCTGCCAATGCAAGATAACACTTCCTGATCATTTTCAATCAAGAAGGAATGCAAAAACATCATCTACCAGCCTTGAAAAGGGGAAATACATTAAGACATTGAATGGAAACATTATTTAATAGCACTCACTACTCAAATATTGGGTTGGCTGTTGTGAAAATTTGAATCAAGCAAGCAAACAAAAACAAAATTCAGCACAACACTGTGCAACCATGCTCCTGTCAGCTCAGTGTTCGGTAATCCTCACATAGCCAATGGATTACTGATTGGCTACCTCTCATTTCTAACTCTTCTGATTTTCTTGGAGAGGAGATCCTATTTGTAATGGTAATTGTTCCCCTTGTGTTGCCATGCCATGTTTTTTGGAAGGGTTTTTCCATGCAATCTTGTAATTGAGAGTAATTATGAAATTCATGACTTTACATAGCTTTTTAAAAACATTTTAAATACATTATGCCAGACCTATGGTAGTGTCGTAACAGGATCATTTAAAATACGTGGATCCAGGTTAACACGAGTACCAATACACAGCTTAAAAACAAGACACCTCAGTGCCTTTATTTTCACAGTGCAGGGAACTCAAAACACTGTAACTCCATGAACCAAAATAAAAGCCTCTTTTGAGCTCCTGACCACACTTTTTCTTGAAGTCATCTGAACAGCTGCACTACTTACTGGTCTCCAAGTAAGAACTGTACTGTAAACTGTAAATAGTTCAGGTTTTTCTTTTTTGTTTGTGGTAGGCTACATATTATATTTGAGAATCACATGAATTGCACAATCTGCACCAATTCATTTTGCAATCGAATCAGTCACTTAAAAGGAACACTTTAATGGTGTATTTCATTTGTTGTTTTTTCAGGCCAGCTCCAGGCCAATGCATATTGTGAAAACCCAGATATAGTATTAGTTGGTAACAAATCTGACTTATCTGATCAGAGAGAGGTGCAGGAGAAGCAAGCAAAAGAGCTCGCTGAAAAATATGGGTAAGTACGATTAAATGCAAAGTAAATGTACCACAACATTAAATCAGCTGTCTGTACATTTTGTTAGACCTAGATTGTAATCTTTAGACACATTTTCAACTTCTTCTTCTTCCTGCTGATATCATAAGGTTGTTATTTAATGAAAACACACTCCAGACATTCTTTTAATGTAGGTATTTTGCACAAACATGCAGATTTTTTCCCCAAAGAGAAATAAATGAATGATTGCAGTGTACACGGTTTGTCCAGAGCTTTCTGGTGGCAAAGTAATAAGGATGTATTCTTTTTTTTTCTCCATTTTTGACAGAATACCCTACTTTGAAACCAGTGCAGCTACAGGTTCTGAGGTTGACAAGGCAGTCATCACGCTGCTCGATCTGGTGATGAAGCGCATGGAGCAGTGTGTGGAGAAGACCCAGCAGGAGTCACCCAATGGAGGGGGCTCTGGGAAGCTAGAGCCCCTGCCTGCTGCTGAGAGAAAGTGTGCCTGTTAGACTGCATCGCTCCTCTGTAAAGAGAAGCCTATCTGTGGACAGAAAATTAAAAAACAAAACAAAATGTCTAGGTAAACAACCACAGCTAGCCATACAGATTGGCAGCTGCCCTAGACCATATAGGATTACAATTGGCCTCTCATGATTCCTTGACAGATATCTTGGGTATCATTTGTGAATATTTATGATATTATACTGTTATAGAAATGTATCTTACCCCTTCTCCCATCCCTCCTGGAATAAGATTATTTTTTGAAAAACACGACTCAGTAGACACTGAAGCGAGATCCTTCACTAAAAAAAACCTTATATTAGAAGTTTATTTTTGCCATTAATAGTTCAAATATTTGTCTGGTCTCTTCGGAGGACTGGCCCTTCTGCAACCCCTGTATTGTCTGCCGTGACTTTCATGAGATGTGCATGACATTGCCTTTATTAGACATTCCAGGTTGTGAGCAAGATGGCGTGGCAGTGACCGATGCTGAATTACTGCCCGCAAGGTTTACAATATTTCCTTCATTGGGTTATTCGTTATATTGTGTTTCCTTTTATAGAAAAGTTAGATGTGCATCCTTCTTGTTTCCAGAAAACTGGAAAAAGCAAGTAAATAACAGTTACATGCACAGGTGATAATATTGCTGTGTTTTATCAGTTTCGTAATGACCAGGCTTCAGCAATCCAAACGTACTTTGACTGGGAGACCACATTACAGATTGTAGCTGAACCTTCAGTGCCAATTAGGTAACGGGCAAACATGGTTAGCAACTGAGATACTTCATCAAGTCTCCAATCAAATATCTGGTTTTAAATTTAAACTACATAAATATGTCTCTTTCTTTGGCAGGAAAGTTTATTTTTCTATATGTCTGGCAACTGACAGGGAAAAGGGTGTACTCTAAGCCTGCTGTTAGCCATTATTTACAATATGGAGTGGAATGAGCCTTAGTTTGTGCTATTCACTGATTAGAACCATTTAAAAAAACAAAAGCATTCAAATTATATATTCATGTAAGGAGATTGCCTGGAATAATTGCTGTTACTATGTGCCAAAAACTCTTTTTTTTTCATTTGGCCAATACATCATTATCTGCCTTCACACACAACCTTTCCATTTGCAAAATACTTATATACAATATATATATCACCTGGCATTGGTGATATTCCACATATCAGAAATAAGTTACAGCTGACTTGATGTATGGTTGTGTTACTACACTTTGAATGTTTCTAATAACATTTTGTTACTTTTGTTTATTTTTTTCATTTCTGGAGATATAGGAAAGTTATTAATAAATTTATATTTCTTGATCTGTTTTTCAAATAATAAATGTAAAAGGACAAAAAATCTATTGCATTATCAAACGTCCTAGATATGTTATATCTGTTCTGTGTTTTTATGCATATTACTGTTTTAAGACTCAATGAAGCCAACATGACATTTTTGTGAATGTGGAGAGTATAAAATTGAGTTAATGAAATCAAAATGTAAAACCTGGATATATGATTGAAAAATAAACTTTAGATGGATTTAAAAGAGCAGATATTATGCATTGGATGTACTTGATTTTGCACTAGGAACAAGATTATCTTCAGTTTTATCTAATAAACCTTTTGCAGAAAATGGCATAATACATTAAACATTTGTTGAAATTACAGTACTGGCATTATTTAAAACTTTCACTGGTCCCTTGTAATTCTGTGAACTGAAATAACCTTCCTCTTAGTGCAAAATTCAATGCATCTGATTTCATCAGCATGGTAAGTGGTGCTTCATGCAAAGTGCTTCTAACGTCTTTTAAAAAATCACTTTCTTCATTTAACCAGTGAAAAATATCAATTTAAATTGTATTGTCATCAGTATCATCCAAACTGCTTTGATTATTTTGATGGATTTTGAGGACAACCAGATATAAACACATTCTCTGGATTGGATTTCCATCATTCTTTGAAAGTAGAAATATACAGTACGTGATGTGTTCCTGGGCAAACAATTCAGGTCGATCAGTCTTTGCAAGAATCATCATTTTGGGATGGCGATTGAGAATACGGACCTACCAATATGTGCAACTATGGTATATAAAGTATATAGAAACTTCAGAAGTTCTTTGTGTTGACATCAGACACTCCAGCTAGAGTAGCCTTCTGAGAAGATTGTGTTAATACATTTATGCAGTTCTCACTTTCCAGTTCTTTTCAGTTTTATGGAGGTGTCTTCTTCAGTGTCGTGGCCTCTTTATTTTCATTTTTTTTTTTTAAATTTAAGAACCATTTAAGTTTTCGAATTCAACATCAAGAGTCTGGTATTTTAGGGCAGCATGGCAGGGCAGTGGTGAGCATGGCTGCCTCACAACGCTGATCAGAAACATGCTGGTAGGTTTATTGGATTCTGGGAAAGCTTGCCCTGGAGTAAGGGAGTGTGTGCCTGTGTCTGTGACTGGCAACTCATCCAGGATTTATCTCGCCTTGCAATAGTTGCTTGCTGGGTTAGGCTCTGGCTCCCTGATTCGGAAGGAGCAGTTAGAAAATGGATGGATGGATGTTTGGTATTTTGTACATCTATAATGGGACTGTAACCAAGGACTGTTCAAAACTCAGTTAAAGGGGAATTAGGGACCTGGGTGTACAAAATGTTTTCTGCACTAAAAAAAGCGATTTTGTTTCTGTAGCATAATATCCTTTAATTTCTATTTTCATTTCTAGTCTGTATCTTTCACCTTGACATGTTAACACATTTCTGTACGCAGCTCTGTGTCAGATTGTTACCAAATAGCACAATGTGCTCATTAGTTTGAAGTTGGAGGGATGCTCAAGCTGTATTCATCACATTTCCAGGTACCGATGGATATCTGACTCTTCAGTTTCCATTCAGGGACTAAATTAAAGGGTACTTGGACAGCTCCTTCAACAGTGTTTAGTGTTCAGGGGATTCCCTGTGTGGGACGGTTTCCACTTGTACTGTTTTACATGTGAAGAGGCTGTGTGTCTGCACATTTGGGAACACTATTCTAGAGCAGTACTTCCCAACCCTGGTCCTGGAGGAACATTCCTTGCTAGTGTAATAACCTACTTAAAGGATATTTTTTTCCCAATAACGTCACCATGCTGATTACTTCTGCTCTCCTCAGTTTTCTTCCCATTATTACTAACTAAACAGCTCCTACGAGCTGATAAATCTTTAACTTACAGGTGGAAATGACAGATAGCCACAGCACTTTTTTTTTCTTCAATTCAGTTTTTCCTTCTACTTTTAACCTTTAGTTTGCCTTTCAAGAAACGCATCAGTTCTGAAACCCAGAAATTCGTGCACGGTTAATACCAGTTATTAACCTTATCTGACCTTTTAAGAACTAAAAGGAAATTTGAGGATATTTCCCAAACAAAACTGAAATCAATAAGTCAGTGATTGAGAACTCTGCTGGTGCACAAACCAGGACAAGTTTCTGCAGGACCAGGGCTGGAAACAACTGCTCTATACAATTGGATTGGAGTCACAGGGAGGGAAAGGAATCAATTATTCATTTATTTGTAAGAATGATGTAAAACATGGGAAATCCACCACCTTATTCTTATCGAAACCCTCATTTGCTACAGTAGTTTCAGAAGCATGCACAGAAGGAATATCCCAACTCATTTGCAGCTATGTGACCTGTATGACCTAGCTGGATTGGGTAGTCCAATTTTGTAATGTGAGGTTAAGTATAATTTTTTTTTCTTTCATTTGGAAATGTCATGGTTAAAGGTCATTATTAATTAGTGCAGATGTAATTTACTCCATCAGTGACATTGACAGACAATTAAAGCAGGTGCAGTAAAAAAAAAAACTGAACAGGCATGGCAGATTTGCAATTCACAGCTTTACTACACCAGCCTAGCACTGAAACACTTGCACTCAAGTGAGGCGTCGCCTGACACCTCATGCATTTCAGCATGCGAGTCTGTGTGCACCTTTGTTCACGTCACGACTTTTCACCTAAGCAGCATGAGATCTCTGTGCGTGATCAATTTGTATATCGGTCCTTTTCGCTCACGTGACATCGAGTGGAATGGGACAGTCCACTTCACTTTCATGACAGTGAAAACCTCACAGGCTGCAGGGCCATATTTCTTCTTGTTTAAGCAACGTGTCATAAGGGAAGAGCGTGGAAACTCCTCCACTGCCACAGTCTCCCAACTAATGCACGGAGCATCCTGTTTAAGAGTAAACATTTGTTTCCTTTACTGTTATCTCTTTGAGGTATCTCTTTTGCATGAATGGTTCAGTACTGTGCCGTGTAAGTATGAAGCCTACTGTATCATCCTAAACTATTGGTTTAGGCACAGGTCTGTTTGTGAAATTTGCCAAACCAGAGCTCCTGGGCTGTCTTGTTATGGGGTATCAGCCCTTTGCTGAATTGATATTTAAAGCTGAAAAGAAGCGTGATTTAAAAAAAAAAAACAATGTGACATTTCTTTGTTTTATGTCATCCTTTGGACTTCATAGCCATTCTTAAAAGTTTACATTGTCTGGAAGATCTCTTCTCCGTAATGTGCCTGTGATGCTGTGTGACCAATAATTTTGTGTAAAAACATACTTGTAAGAGTTGTGACCTACTGAATATTTTTAATGCATCAGAATATAAAGTGAAGCAAAAAAATATATAAATATATACGTAACCATATGGCAGATTTAAAATTTTCATGATCTTAAAAGAGAAACATTTTGAGCATTTGTAATGTTCTTTATGTATTTGAAGAAAAAATATGCTTTGAATATTGATGTGCCTGAAATTTCTTAAGTGTGTGCACTAATATTTTGCCAGGCTGTACTAAACGTATTTCAGTGCATCTTTAGCATGAGCAACCTGAGGATGAGCTTTGATATAGTCAGTGTTATATTATCTATAGATCTGATAAATGTATCCCTTTAATTTCAGTGGGTTTCTGTTGTTCCCTACAGATGGCTGTTGCTTTGACAAAACATGATGTTGCACTGTTAAATAGTAAAATAGTTTTGTTTGATTTGACAACTTGATTGAAGGGTGTTTTGTGGCAAAGTATACACTTGTTGAATGTTTTTGAAGCACTGAAGTGAAGTGCATTTCAGGATAAATTTCTACAGAATGGGTTTTGCTCGTTCATTAAATGATCTGGATAGCATTTTCATCTCCCAAGTTCACTCACTCAAGGTATTTCTGTTTCTTTTTTAATCAAGCAAATAAAGATTTAAAAACCCACTGTGCTTTTATGAAACAGAACTTTGTTGTGAATTACCAATTTAGTATACTGTATTTTTACAGCACCCATTATCACTGTGTGGCAGCACCACGGAATGTATTCTCACTTGTAAGTATGACAAATCTTAATCTCTAGCCACAGGGACACTGGCATGCCACATACATATGTCAGGACCCTTTCTATATATTCAGTGTTAAGACAAACAGACTTTGCCTGGACACCTAATGATGCAGAGTGTCATTTTTCATTCAGAGTTTTACCCAGTATACACACAGGGTGTGTACATTTTGTCCTGTTCATTCATTATTAATAATAATTTCAGAGAATGAAATATAAGAATAGATGTAGTTTAAGAGAATGAACTACAAAAGGCCTCTTTTCAGCAAACTTTATATTAATAGCATTATTAGAAAGATGTCAGCTGTTTTCATTTGAATTTAAACCTTGTGGTTGTGTGTTCTTTATACATTCTGAAGATTGTTGATTCGTGTCCCATCTCTAATTCAGTTTGCTTGCACTACAGACTTACTTGCATTATTGACAGAAATATCTATCTGAGACTCTGGCAGACTTTATTGTGCAGATAAGATGTTCCTGCCTCCTTTGTGGGTGGGTGGTGCACATTGGTGGTGGAGAGGAATCCTCATTACCTGTAAAGTGCTTTGAGTAGAGTGTCAATACAGAATGTATTGTTTAGGATGTGCTCTGCACTCATACTACAGTGTGGCAATGTATAATGCTATCAGCTGTGTTTGTGGTTGTTAGTAGGCTTAACTCAGTGAAGGAACAAGTAAAGGTTTATTCCATGCTGCAAAGAGAAGAACAGAAAGGTAACATTTTGGCTGTGGAGCCTTCTTTGGGTGTTAGAAGAAAATGGTTAACTTAACTGAATAATATTTTTTTTTAGTTGGGTTTGTTTATAGCACATTGTTATCACTCAATGTGGAATGCTTATATTTATGGGTACAGCATTATAATTTACAGAACTATTTTGGAATACTAAACTTCAATGGGTGGACTTTATTTTTATTTTGCTTATTTACTGTTGTTCAGGAAAAAGGAGGCTTTATACTGTATCTGCCATCTGCCTGCTGGACTTCCAGTTGGATATCAGTGGTGTAATTAGGACTGTTGCAAGCAATCGTGAAGTACTTTAGTAGAAACTTGTAAATAATTTTAAATCATCCAAAACCACATTTCAGGGTGAGAAAACTTAGAAAGGAACATTAAATCTTAAATGAGATTGTTGTGGTATTGAACTTTCTGGAAAAAGTGTTGATAATTCAATTGTTTTTTCTTTGTTACTGAATAAAACATTTAAAACAAGTCCATATTTTTTCCTCCTGAAACTTTTGTTAATGTTTTTCTTGGGATGTTTTGAACGTAAATATTTGAAAAGGAAAGTTTAGCGATACTAGGATAGAATCAAACTTTGTGAAAAACATACTATGTTTACCAGTGATGTATAACAATAAGATTCTTGGTACTAACAGTACAGAATTCCTAAAGGTCCACATATAAAGGGGAAACTATATTAAGTGTCCAAGGGTATCCTTATTATAAGTTGTATTAAAAGTCTGAGGTGATACATATTAAGCTTGTCAGTATTGGGAATAAAACTGTAATGTCCTCTAATGCAAAGAATACATTTGTGAAGTTAAAGCTTTACATCATTTAGAAAAAGGCAGAATTAACTAAAAAAAAAACTTACCACTTTTGTGAACCAGATACTTCTAAAGAAAAATCTCTTTACACATATATGCAGTCTGGTTAATGTTAATCTTCTGTCCTCAGTACTATACTAATAATACCAGTCAAAAAATACTGTTTTCTGTTTTCATTCAAACATTCAAAACTGTTTAAAAAAACACTTCTGCAAAAAGCCTTTAAACAACAGTATTAAATAAGTATAATCCTTCTGACTACCCTCTATGCATATCAATATATATTCTCTTAAACAAGAATAATTATTCAGCTTAGTTCCACTTCCCTTCTTTAACTACATTGCTTGAAACAAAATAATTTATTACCAATGTTTGGGCTCCAATGCTACTTTTCCAGTTCTGATATGTCCAGTTTTAAATCTTTCAATTCCAGCCTCCAAAAAATACTACAACTTCTACACAATGCAGGGTGAATTTCTTTATCTGTCATCATTATTTAATTGATTTTAAGAGTACATATATAACGACACAAATAACTCTGAAGTCAAAGCAAAGCTATTTCCTATGATCTTTATTCATCTCTTTTCTTACCCTAGTTTGTACAGTAATTGGATATTGTTATCCCCAAATTTATAGCCGCATCCTCTGTGAGACCCAATATACAGTTAAAAACAACACATGGGCTGAGTTCACCTGAAACCCATAACAATCAGATGTTTAGAAATATTTTCTAAATTGTTTAAAGGGCTGACGATTGGTTTATTTAATCATACATTACTATATTATGAAACATTTTTTGCATTTTTATATAGTTGTGATTATGAATACTGTTTCACAGGAGACATGAAGTTACTGGAAATACAATTATTTGCATTGACATGATCTACTTGGTTGTATCACTCAGCAGCACGTGTAGACTACATTACAGCACATGCAGGTGTTTCAAGACTGCTTATTTTCACAGAGTTTGATTGCACAAAAGGTGTATAAATCCTGGGTAACAACTGAAGCCTCACTTACTCCAAAAGGTTCCTTCAAATCCCGATATCATGTGGCAAAACTGATGCAAGGTCATTAAAAAAAAAAATTCTCCCAGAAAATGTACAAATTACTACCACAACTTTTATTTTCAGACAGTTCCCTCTGATCACAAGTAACCTGTATTAGATACTTGTGGATGCACAATCACTATTGACCAGCAGGATCAAAGAACATATTGCATTGTGATGCACACCCACGTCACTCCCAGAATATATGCATGCCATCATTAGCCTTACATCTTAAGGTAATACTTCATGACAACAGACAATGTGCTGCTGTTATTGGAACTATTGCAGGCTATTGATTTGAAGCAGGTTGAGAAGGGGAAATACCACCTTCTGACAGCTGGATCAATAATGTGTTGGTTCGCATTTATGCAGAGAAGGATTTAAAAATTGATTCATTGAGACAAATGGCCGTCTCTGATGACCTCTCAGTTATCTCTGTGAGGTAGGATGGTAAGCGATTATTCCATCAGCTTGGCAACAACCAAACTCAAATTATTTGCATTCTTTTGTACAAGGTTAGCAGATATCATTATCTGTAACACAAGTATGATGAAAGGATAAATTTGTGATTTGTGAAATAAAATCATTTCTTGTGGCTAAAATTCTAACATCACAGAGATCACTCCTTTTTCTTTGATATATAGCTGATTTAATGGACATGGCGTAAGACAGGATGTTTTCAGTCTCTGCTGACATTTCTTTTACATAAACATTGATTTCTTCAGTAAATATATTCACAGTTCTTGAGAGCCTAGCCTATCTTTTATGAGTGTCCTGCTCTCTCTCAGTGCTGTGGAGCTAGATCTCTGTAAATAAGGTGGATTACCTTTACCCAGTGTCCTCCATTTCCCCCAATACACCATGAGTGTCAATACTGCATAAACCAGTTTGAAAATTTTAGCCATTTTGCTGAGAGAACATCCTTATCTTTGAGGGAGGGTGCCAGCATTCCAAAATGTGGAGCTTCAAAATGAGCCAGAAAATATTTCAGTGTTAAAAATATGAAAGGATAGGAATGACTGATAAATAGCCTTGTGGAAAGCTTTAGGGTAGACTGGCATAAGGGTGATGTATCCAAGGGAAAACTGTGGACGATTTTTTTTATTTTCCATGTGTATATATATAATGCAGTTTATATCCAGTATTCTATATTTCTGTTGTACGTCCAATATTTTAAGTGTGCTTTAAAAACATCTTGATAGGGATAGGCCCATTCAAAAAGTTGTCCTCTCTTTGTGCCAGTCTCCCACCACAACTATTCTAAAATAGTTAGTAATAGTAAATAGTAAAAATGTTCACAGCAGATACAGTTTTGGATCATTACACTTAAAATAAATCAAAGAGTGCTGGCTTTCGGCCTCACACCATTTGACTTTAATAAAGATTTTCATAAATGTATGCTCATGGGAGAAACAAGACTCATTTGCAAGACGTATAGGATGACTGCGCAATGGCTTGTTCAGAGCAGGTTTCTCAGGCTGTGGTCCAGTTAGGCGAAAACTTTGCCTGTTACACCGAATCTTCATGACATTCCGCCGATCTCCGAATCAAAGTTTGTTTTATCAAGACAACATGGGTAGAAATGAACCCGATGGCACCCAAAGGGACCTCCGGAATTATGTGCTTTTCCATTTCCTAGCTGATCATATCATTGTAGATTTGGGAGATGTGATGACATCTGTGGAGCCAGCCACAGTAATGGGCAGGACATACTGGGCACCCTGAGTTCAGGAGAAGAGAGAAGCAAGCAACAAAACCCCTGGAAAAATAGTTGCAAAGCAACCGAGCAAGTTAAAAAGTGAATCTGACAGTCACATGGCTTTACTTGCCTTGAAGAGGCACCTGATCCGACATCCTTTATACAAGTGTATGCTGTGTCTCAACCCAGCATGGGAAGAACACAAAAAATTCAGATGTAAACTAGGGTCTAAATTATGACGTAGGTAAAATAGTAAAAATCTGAGTTTACATGTTTTGTTATATTTGAGGGTCAAAATAGTTTGACAACTGGGAAAATAGGCCCTAAATATCAAAATCACCCTTCTATGTTCATGAATGATGAGAATATGAATATCTTATTGTAGAGTGGGAGATCTTAAATGGGTCAGTTCTCAGCGGCTCTGTTACCTTGAATGGTTGGCCATTCAGGTACAGTCTATCTGTTTTTCCCATGGGCAAACATACATGAAAATGTGAGTTACAATCAAAAAGGGGTAAGGTCAACAGGTGATTTTATATGGAATGACCCTTATTTAAGATGTCTTTAGCCTCTTGTAATGCCAGTTGATATATTCTGCTTTATGTTGAGTCAATTTGTTAAATTCTTTTTTTTGAATAGAGTTATTTAATACCTGGAATGAGAGCAATTCAATGCCCATCTTGGCATGCATCATGTTCTATAAATATTTGTATTGTTGAATAAATGATATTTCCAAAAGATCAACTTCATGATTGCTTTTTATGAACCCACCATCTGTGTGCACATCTCTTGCAAAAAAAACACCCTCCATTTGTTTCAATAGCATATGAAGGGACTGGCAAACTTACAGACATTGAGTGAAGAGCTAGAGCAGATGGTGATCATTTTTAATATGTGATACTGAAATACACAAATCATTCTATTACCAGAAATCATTTAAATGACAATTAACAAATAATTTATGAAGTAAACCCCTTCATAAAAATATTATGCTCCACTAGTAAACTGTCTCCTTGAAGCAAAGACACTTTACTTTATATGAGTGTAGTTGGGTAAATGTTTCCTTTCAGTCTGTCGTCTTGAAAATTAAACATGTACTAATGAAAACTCCCATAATAAAATACACATTTTGTTGAGTCAGCATGTTCACATTGGCACCTCTGCGTCCTCCATACTCAATTGAGCTGAAGGTTTAAAACAGTTGTGCCTAATCTTACGTGACTGAAACACCAACTGAGACCTTCTTAGGTTGCTGACTGGTCCAGAATTCCACACTGTACTTCAGTTCTTTATTCTGTTAAAACAGTACATGCAGATATTAGATTAAATCAAGCATGGAGATTAGCGAATTTCAAAATCTATAGTACAATATTTCCTTCAGATTTGCTGTCAAATGTATAACATTATTCAAATAAAAACTGAGATACAATATATTGTACCTCACAATCACAAAATGTGGGTCCTAATAGTATATTTGGAAAATACAATTATTTGTACTGAGAAGCTTTATCATTTTATTTAAGCACAAAATCAGCAACATAAACAGTACAGTGAAACAATTGCTTTGCAGAAACATTGCAGGAACATGATAAACTATTACTTCAGTTTAAATAATAAAGACTGTGAATAAAGAAAGCATAAATTCACCACTTATACTGTACCTCCCTTGACCTTGAACTTTATTGCCATATGTAACTGGTACATGTACTCGTACAATGGAATTCTTACAGAAAGTTTGTTGATTGTTAAAACAAGTGTACATTTTTACACTTGTTTTAACAATCGAGAGACTCGAGAGACCCATAACTGAGCAAGAATTAATGTCAATCTGTTACTGTTGGCCATACCCCATTTCAATAGACGTGAACAAAAGACATTACTAAGACAGACTTAATCATTCCACAATTTGACATAGTGGACTAAATGCTTTAGGAACAGCATGTCATAAATTAGAAAGACTTTGCCTATGTTTAAAAATCAATAATGGTTTAGTGGAGTTGTATTAAAACAGTAGTAGGAATATAAAATGTAATATGGAAACATTAAGGCGATGTGTTGTCTTATAATATCCTTCCACAAAATATTTAGTTCCAGGGCACTTCTGCACTAAAGCAAGATTCATCCTTCTTTAATATCAGATTACTACTGTACACAATGTGGAATTCCTTAGTTGAGAAACTTGAACGTCTGAAATTGGTAATAATTAATGGCATTTATATAGCATGTTTCATTCCAACAAAGGATTTTACATATAGAGGGGGACTTAACCTATCTACCACTGACATACAGGTACCCCTTTGAGCAATACACAGCAGCCATTACAGTCCAGCAGCGTCTCTACACAGTGAGTCAAGTGAAAAATTGTTTCACTAATTTAAATAAGAGGGGACTTACAAGGGGTAGCCCAGATGCTCAAACCTAGAATGAAATTTACCCAGGGCACCAGGATTAAAAACCGCACTCCTTTAAAAACTGCCATGGGAACCTTAATGACCAAATAGTCAGGAAATTTGTTTAATATCTCATCCAAACTATGGCACCTTGGTAACTTGGTAACAGTGCTTATCCATATATACTGTATATATGGTCTAATTTGAAACACCATCCACTTAGGTTGCTTTCATTAGAGTTACTATGCAATCCTTTTAAGCCTAAAGCAACTCTTTGTATTTTAATTAAAAGAGCAAAGCTTTCCAGTATGTCCTGAGTTAAAGATTAATGTTTTAGCAAATCATCCCCTCAGAGGAGATCATGGTATCAGATGTGTTTTGTTCTGTTCAATATGTTCTTGTTCAAATTGTTTATGGGACTAGTTTGCTCTTATTGGTCCACCACTGTGCGGCTTTCTAATTGTACATAGTATGTATAATAATGCTAATGCCCTGGATTTAGTAAGATCAAATACAGACACAAGACAAGGAAATTACATAATCATAATCAATGACCATTATCTGAGGAGCATCATTTCTTAGCAGAATGTCTTTAGAAAGCAAATAATCGTATATATTTATTCTGTATTATTGTGATTCTTGTGTTATCAAACAATATTTTATACTTTTATGATCTAGGTTTACTTTAAGCCTTTTCAAACATCTAGGATTAGGCTCACCATAAAGCACTGTTTATAATTTATATATTCATTCCTGGGCCTGGAGGGCCACAGTCAACCTGGACTGATACATAACTTATCATCTTCAAGGTGAGTAAAAACGTAGAATCAGTGGTAATATTGTCCAATTACATGAACGACTTATTCAAGTGAAGTTATTAAGAGTAAAGATTGGAAGATCTGAAAAAACACTGGACTTACATGATGAGGGAGTGAAAATTAGTGGTTTATAAAGTGAAATTATGTTGAAGTTGATATGGAATTCTGAGTCACAAACATGGCATGTGTAGAGAATTTTATCATGTTTATCTGCATGTTCATCATGCTTTCCAAATGTTTTATCTTGGCCTGGTACAGTACATTGATGGTTCTCCTTCTAATCAAGCAAATGCTAACGTAGGTATTATAAGTCAAGGAAAAAAACTGGACCTTCTTTAGTAATACGCATTTTGTTCAAGTCCTGCTTAGTATTGTGCAGAATACAATGCAATGAAATGTGTTCTCTCACTTTTTCAAACCTCACCTTTGCTTCCAAGGAGTGTAGCCTTTCAGTAAGAGTCCATACAGCATTGTCTTGTGCCGAGAGCTCCTTTTTCAGCTGTTCTATCTGAAAACATTACATTGAGGGTTTGAAAACTGATTACATTACAGAAAAAATGGAACATGTTGATGGCCCCTTTAATATGCTAATTGAAAAATAATCTATTGTTCAGATATCGCCTTTCTTTCTTTCTTTCTTAGCAAAGAGAAAATAAATGTCAAGGATCTTTCGGCTCCATGAAAGGACATTCATTAGAATATGGAAAGGAGACTGTGAAATATGTCAGGAACAGTAATTGTGTCAGTCCTGTCTAAGCAGAAATGAAGCCATATTCTGTTCCATTTACAAAATACCATTTAGGAGCATAGTTTCATCCTACTGAACTGCAGTAGGCTGATATTGTAAACTGTTGCCCTGAGCAGTGGGTCAGCTTTTCATGCCAATAAATGAGGGGTGTTAAATCTTGATCCTGCTGGACCACTGTGCCTGCATAACTCTGTCAGTCCAGTATAGCTCTTAACTGCCTGTGGGCTGTAGCTTTCCAGGACCATGACTCCTGTGCCGACGTCTTAATCACTCATCTAGATCTCAGCAACTCATGCACATCGGTAGTAATTAAAACCTTCGAAGTATTTCTGAATTGTAATTTTATTCCATAATTTGAGTGGGTGTTTAAGTGCTTTTCAGAAATTCGTAGTTTTCTTAATAGGTAGTCATCAATAAACAAGACGCTGGAGATTATGAGAATCAGTGCTAGCTTCGCTGCAAACCCTCTGTTTTTCTGATGCTGGGGATTAAAAACAGAAAAGAAAAAGAGTCTCACTTGCTGTATGTAAGTCCGCAGCTTTCTGTTCTGGTTAAGGATCATATCATCTAGGTGATGGATCTTCTCCTGGAGGGTATTCACTTCTGTAGTGCAGTTCCTTAAACTAGAATCAAAGTAAAAAAAGTGAACATGGAACACTGTGTGGTGCAGTACTATTTGTGTATCCTAGTCTAATAAACATGTTTCATTGCCTTACTTCATGACTATAAATTGCCAATTTCAAAAACAGGGGGTGAGTGGGATAACATTATGTCATTGTAATTTTTATGCAGGACTAATACTGAATATGTTTATGAAAAAGCACAATACAGTGCCTTATTTTTAATACTATTGTTTTTTTTTTCTTTACAGTCAAGGAATTTGTATTTGTGATCATTGGATTAATATGAATAACAATATAATATTCATTATATTTTTATATATTTTATATCAGTGAGCCAGTTTTAGAGGCTGCTGTGGATCCAGAAGAGTTTTACATTTTATGGACAAAAGAAACCAAGATAACCTTTACCAAAGTGAGGAAAAGGGCCTTATCCGTGAAGCACATTGTAGCCTGGGCATGCATGACTGCCTCTGGAACTGGCTCACTCATTTTAACTGATAATGTACAGTAACTAATGATGGCACTATACTGTAGGAAACAAATAGCTCTAAACACTATTTGTTCAATGCATGATCAGTAATGGATTTGTTCTGCTAGTAAGGGGAATCAGAAAGACAGCTTGCCCTCTTTATCACAGGTCATTCACTATGTGAAATAACCTTTACCATTTCATTGACCCTTACACCAGAGCCATGATTCTTGAAAGGAATAATAATTTTCTCAGTGGCTAATGCCTCCTTCTCTTCGTTAAAGATCTGAATGGCCTTAATAAGATAACAGCTCAGTCTGAATCTCAGTCTATAATTAGTTTCAGCTGCTTGGTTTGAGTGACTACTTTAAATTCTGTGTTTTATAAGGATATAACAGTATGATTTGTACATTTAACACTACATTTCATATAGTTAATTCAGAGTTGATGGGGGTTATTTTGTACATTTTTATAACTGTTGCTGTGACAATGCTGTCTGTATACATGATTTTTGTTGTTACCTTGCTCTGTGGGTTTTGCTTAAAAGGGAGCGCCCACTTTATTCAGGTGAAACAATTCTGTGGTGAGCAATTAATAACAGTTACTATTTAGCACGTCTCACAGAGTGCACAAAATGAATCCCACTGCTTGAATTAATCAAAGAGAGTGCAGGATCGTGTCACCCATCAAAGCAAATGTACATACCTCTCTGCTTCAGGAATGGGGCTATGATTCAGTGACAGCCTCCATCTGGTTTCATGTTCTATTAAATCTCTTTTCCTTGACAAAACGGTCTTCTCCTGCAATATGTTACAACACACCAAACTTAACCTACAGGACACAAGCAGAAGTCTAATATTATTTCATTATATTTCCAGTCACAAAGTCAAGAATTCTTACTAAAATTTTTTTTGCAATAACATCAATATGTCTTGGTTTTCAGACGAAAACTTCACAGTGAGGTAGTGCACAGAGAAAAAAATACTGTTTTGTCAATAAATCAAGATATATGCGTCTTAATAACAAGTTCTATTTAATATTTTAGATTACTAGTAAATTGAAATGTTTGAAATGATGGTTGGTGTCAATTTTTTTGATTGATTTTGCACTTGCCTGTTCCATCCTTCCCACTAGTTTTTCTATCTCTGAGATTCTCTCTTCCTTTTCCTGAAGGTTTCGTTCCAAATTGTGGAGATTCTCCAGGCTTCTTCTTAAATTCTGCTCCAGATCTAAAGCCCAACCCTTACCAGAATTAAAAAAGTAAAAAAGACCATGTTAATGCAAAATACAGTAACACTTTAAGGAACAGCTGCAATTTCACAATAAACGTCTTCTGAATTACACCATAATATCTGGTGGATGTTTCTATTTTAATGTGGTTCACAAAGGGAAAATCATAACTCTAACCCATATACAAGAACATTTTTGTTTTCTATTAAATTTGGCATTCCAAGAGATAGTTCTTTATCTGTTTCAAAGATAAATCTGAGGCTCTTCAAATCAGTGAGTTTTCATCTTTCCGTTTTCAATAACTACTTACAGTAGCTCAACTCTTGTTTGAGCTAGGACACAATGGTCACAAGCCAGGACAAACCACAGCATGTAATTCCAGTCCACACGGGGACAATTTTGAGACACCACAGCCTGGACAGCAGATCTGTGGTCTGTGGGAGGAAATTAGAGGACCCAGTGAAAACATCCATGGGGTCAGAGTGGCCACAGAGAGAACATGCAAACTCCACACACAAGGCACTCCATGCTGGAGTCATACCCTTGCTCAAGAGCTGTGGGGCAGCATCGCCAACTGACCCTTAGCTGTTTCGCTCAGCAAGTCTCTGATACATTTCAAAATGCCCTTTTTCTTAAATACATTTACAGAGAATGTAGTCAGCATAATGAAATACCTATTTTGTCTAATGGTAGTTTGAATGAACAATAGAGGCTAGTAACAGCAGGGAGGTGAAATATCCCTTGTTGTACACTGCTGTGCACATTTCTGTTTGTATGCAGACAGTGTTAATGGCTTGCGCCTTTCATGAAGGGACATAATAAAGGCCCCAAGAGAAATGACACATGCTACCTGCAATGTCTGCTTCTCCTGGATGTGTCTCTCCCTCATCTCTTCTGCGCGAGACTGGTAGGTGTCAAACAGCCTTCTTGTAGTATCTCTTAAGGCCTCTGCTCCTGCCTCCCGGGATGCTTCGAGCTAGGGCAAATGCCATAGGTAGAGATAATTACCCCCATTCAGGGGGTGTTCTGATACACCTGCCTACCGCATTTTGCGACTGGTACACATATTGTACTGTGAAACATAAACTTGGGTTCAAGTTATTGAAATGCAGTAGATTCTCCTGCAGCAAAATTTCCACTCCTAAAGATTCCATTTTTGGCATGTGTTAAGCTTTGACATTCGCGTAACGCAAATAGCTATGCTGTGAAGAAAGAAGAAAAAAAGTACCAATGCGATGTGTTCTTCCAGACAGACCCACTGTATTTTACATAATATAAAGTGCTAATGAAGAACTGCACATTCATTTTTTCTGCCAGAATAATGTATGCACAGAAATGCAAACAACATAGCAGTGCTCTCTCAACACACCATTTACTCTGTGTGAAGCATCAATGGAAAATAAATATTAGACCTTAAAGCTTTGAATAATGCTAATGAGTAAAATAAGACATATCATGCCAGCAAAATTCATTTTCAATATTTACTGGTATTGTACTGTACACCCTGTAAATTCTCACTTTCCCATTTCTCCCATCAGGGTCTCATTCCCTGCTTGATGCCCCTTTTAAAGGCAAATGTCATTACATGAATTTGAATAAATGTGCTGTTGCTCTCAGCAAATGTTCCATCTGGTTTAACAAGTCTTGTTAGAACACTGTGACAGTCTTAAGCAAATTGTCACAATAACCACCTCATTTGCAATAGCCCATTGCCTAAGACTTTGGTTTTGACTGTTGTATTGCACTGGCTGAGTGAGGCTCACACACTTGTTCTGCTGACACATCAATAAACAATTTTAAGATGACTGCTTTAACACATTTCTCCTAAATAACTGCAGCTTTATGTGGATCACATTCTTGGCAGCTGAGGAAAGGCTCCAACTTCTTTCAGTGCACCAGAACAAAGTCAGCAGGTTTACCTTAATCTCAAGCTCCTGGTTCTCCATAAGAATATGGGAGAGCTGCATTTCTTTGACTTTGAGATCTTCAAGTACTTGATGGTGTCGAGTGGAAAGACTGTTCCAATTAGCTGGGACATCTCTCAGGCAATGAGTCTGTGTCTCACAAATGTAGACAAAAACAAAGGAAATCAAAGCCTTTTTAAGTTAAGTTTTCATAATCTTTTAACAGATAAGAGCACTAGAGTTTACAAATGAGAGGAGATACTTTGGCCCATCAAGTTCATTTGATTTCTAGTAGGTAATTGAGCTGAAAATCCTATACAGCCTTGACACCAGGCTACGTCTTTTGACTAAATTACTGTTCTAGACCCTCACACAACCTTTTATGTAAAGTAGCCCCATGTTTCATCATAGAAATTGTGCATAGCAAAAAGCCCATTAAGCTGACTGACAGTGTCTCTGAGGTTTTTGAAAACTTGAATTGGGAATCCTCACAGTCTTCTTGTCACGACTGTAAGCCCCTCCTCTTAAGGGCGCTCCGGCTCTTTCATGTTTGTCTTGAATTTTTGGTGTCTGTCTCCGGTTCCAGCCCACTTCCTATAAAAGCCAGATGCTCTTACCATTCCAGGCTCAGCTTTGGAAGATGGACGCCCGGAAGTCCGCCTACCCGTGAGTCCAGGAGAGGTTTAACGGCATAGGCTTCACAACGGCATCCTGACCATCTGGGTCCAGGTCCCGGTACCCCTTTTATCCCCTCGACCCTTCGCCGGATCCTGCTCCGGCTTTTAACTTCTGTCTTGTCTGTCATGGATGGATTACCGGGCCCTGGACTTTTGATCACCTATGGATTTTTCTACGGACTCCCTTTGGACTTGTTTGCCTTGGCCACGCCCCCCCATCCGTCTGCTTGCCCTGTTCCTAGTCTCCTTTCCCTGTGTTTGTTGCACTCCCTTCCAGATTTTATTGTCTGCATAGGGTCCTGAAAAATGCTTTGTGACACTTCTCTGTTCGAGACTAAAAACATTTATTGTTTACACAGACTTGTATGTAATAGAAGTAAGGCTTTTTGGTTTATACAGTAAGTAGTAGGTTACGTTTTGTGGATCCTTTTTATGGATGGATAATACATTATCATTCACAAGTTAGCTGGTATAACTCCTGTCTTGAATGATCGCTGGAAAAGTATTTTCATTAAGTACAATTGGTAAAATACCATCAAGACACTACAGATTCCTGTATCTTAAGTGCTTTAATGCCTGCAACACCTGTGTTTTATTATTGTTTAATATACAATGTCTTTCCTAAGTTTCTGTATTGTATTACTTCCCCTGATATTTTTAAAAGACTCGATTGATCCAAGTTTTGTGCCAGGTAGGTGCATCTTGCCCCTATTGCTTCTGAGAACCTCAATTTATCTTGGTTAGGTTCCTGTGTCCGAATGGTCCTTTTGATGTATAGCACTAAACCTCCACCTCTTCTGTCTGTCCTGTTTCTTTGCAGTTCTATGTATCCATTAACATTGTATTTATTATAATCATTCTCTGTTAGCCATGTTTCTTTTATTCCAAGTTATGGATCGCAATAACATCCTGGTGTAACTTGCCAATAATTATCTGGTCATTTAATTGATTTATTTTCCCAGTCCCATTCCCAATTCCAATTTTTATTCATATGCAGACAAACAGTTTTCAACTGAGACCGTAAATGAGATCTTAAAACACTTCTTTACCAACACTTATCCTATCAACTTTCACTACTATAAATTCATCTTCCTTGACTTCTAGTTTTTACATTTTTACATTTTATCTGAAGCAGAAATGTGCTATATAAATTAAAGGTCTAGCTGCATTACTGTTTGTTTTACCTGCTTTGACTTTATCAGTACTTTGTACTATCAAATCATATTTACATTATACCTTTGGTCCACTTTTCCATCCTTTACACCCTTCCCTTTCATCTTCAAAAACTTGTATTTTTTCCAGTGCAGAGCGGATCTAAAATGAAAGACACAGCAGCCACAATTATGTTAATAATTATCATAATAATTTTAATTTTCACATGTGAGCCTAAAACATACTCTTCATATATAAAAGGTCAGTCTATCAGCAAAATTACTATAGATGTTTGGTTTTTTAAAAGACCACAATCTTCCAATCAGTGTCATTAGCCCTTACTACACCCTTATTCTTATTATTGGAGGTAAAAATCAATTACCTGCTTTTCAAATGAAGACTGTCATTGTACTGTATCTTAGTTTACCTTTCTAATGTAGTTAGTCTCCTCTCTGATATAGGACAAGGGGCTGTAATAGAGACTGTCTTCCTGTCCTGGGGCAGTGTCGCACTCCAGCACTACCAGGGAAGTTACTGCAGCCTGTGAACAAAAGAGGACAAAGGTGTCAGGAGTCGGAGAGACAGTCAATTTGCTTTCTATTTTCTGAAAAATACATTATTTTAATTCTATGAACACATACATCTCTCCTTGCGCTTGGAACATGATCCTGTGATGTAACCTGGGATCAGCAGGTGTTTTGTTTCAACTTCAGACACCCTCACCCAGGTGACCCATCTGAAGCTGATCGGGGCAAGACTGTATCCAGGTGGCATCAAACTGATCCCCGGATATCACTTCAGAGCTATCTTGAGGCTTTCTCTGCTGCCTCTGTGGCCTTACTGATGTCTCTTATTTACCCTGTGGTGCCTATCATGTCATAATGCTTGAAGAGGGACAACCCTGCAAATCCCTACTTCAATAGGTACACACTAGCCAGCCAGCCCTTCCTGCAAGAATCACTAACAACTCCCTAGTACTTAGCCCTCTTTCCTCAGTTGCTCTCCAGCTCTAATTAAAATCTTGGCTTGTTTAGTAGGAAAGAAATACTTGCTGTTGCTGATACCTGTGCAGATTTTATCTGCAAGGACCTGGTAACGACTCCAGCTGTAAGGTCCATCTCTCAGCCCTTTTTGATAAGTACTAAGAATATGCTCTAGTGTTCCTTTCTCTGGGAACAGTGGACAAGTTGGATAGTCCACTTAACTCCAATAAAATGGTATGGGCTAGGTAGAATATTACACCCTGGATCAGGAACGTGATGCTCTAATTGCTATATGCACAACAGTGAGATGTTCTAGTCATGATGATCAGACTCCCTTTAGCATCAAAGTTGCCAGCTCTCTACTCCTAATCAGCCATGTACTATCTTATTGGTGGCTATCGCACACCTAATTTAGTAATTAGACTCCAAATCTGTGGCCTTCACCAGCATATTCATTGCCAGGGCAATAAATGTCTGTGATGATTCCTACTTCCAGTCTATGTACTGCAACTTTGGACTCCTGCATAAGCAAGGTATAAAGCCAAAGGTGATCATAAGAACTTGTGAAATCAGTTCACAATATTGTAATATACTGTACAGGGTGTAAATCAGTATTCCAATGGCTAAAGAGTGAAATGCTTCACTGTTGCCCTTCTAGGCTGTGCACATCAGTGATCTGTGTTTCCTCCCAATCATTACAGCACTGTTCCCACTTTGTATCATGATCTAATCAGCTCTTGGTTGCTAAGCAAAGTTGGATCTTGTCTGTGTTGCGATGGGAGTCTTAAAGAAAAAAAAGGTACAGCACCTATGGTGATGGGGGACACTATGATGTAGCAGGTATCTTTCTTGAGATGAGACAGTAAACCTACTGTAGTAGTCAAGTCTGACTACTTGTTCTTTTAAACTTCCATGGCACATTTGGAAAGAGAATGGGTGTTAAACCTTGTGTTCTGGTTCAATTCCACTCTAGGCTTGTATAGTGTCATCTCCCTTAAGTTCTACCTTAATTAAGTGAACAATTTCTCAGTCTTATGCCTGATCTGCTCTGTAAGGGCTGATCGAACTTGATGCTACCTACAGTAGGTGGTGTTGTGCCTTAGTGGTGGCTCAAAGGCGTGCCTTAAATAGGAATCTAAAGCAGAAGAAAAGTACTGACAATAACATGGAATACTTTGCTAGTATGTCAAATGACATTGTATTAAAAAAAATCACAGTGAATAATTTCAGAACAGATTCTGAAATTCTGTGATCAATAATCTGGAAGTAACAGTCTGGAGTTCTTCAAGCAAACTTGGCCTCCAGTGACACTTCAGCTTATTCTACCTTATTCTAATTTTTCTAGTCTACATTTGAATTGCAAATCATTTTACATTTAAAGTTACATGATTCTAATGTGTGTCTAAAGCAAAAATGTAATGTGTAGGATGGCTCAGTCCAAAGATGGATTGTTTAAATAGCATGAAAGGCCTTTGTATAAGAGTTAAAATTTTACTAACACCCCTGGTTAATGAAATGTCCAACTAGTGTCCAATATAAAACTAGTATCTAGATTGCAGTATGATTATTTTAGCTTTCCGCATTTCAAGATGTTACTGGTAAAAATGTTGTGGTATAAAATTTTACTCTTAAGTCCTTGAAAACACTAATATTTCTGATCATTGTATCTTGTTCAGGATGAATGGTGCACTGCAATCAGTAAGTACTGTATATGTGAAATAAAAGCAGTAGATCACCAACAATGTATGTGTAAATAACATCCTGCATATTTATACAGTATACACATGTAAAGGGACAAGTAATAGGTTTATTCCATGCTGAAAAGAGAAGAAAGGAAACACAATGTTTCTGCTGTGGAGCCATCTTCGGGCGTCAACATATGTAGTAACATTTATGCTATAGTGATTGCTTTGCAGTCGCATTTCAAACCATGAAACAGAGCTGTAACAGTGCATTTATACTGTATTACAAGATGCAAACAACTACCTTTTTCTTGTCAGAAAGCTATTAGGCACTGTAAACATCAGATTAAACAAAAATTAAAAGCAGTACTATTACATACTTGTGCATTTCAAGTCTAAAATAGGCACTAATAACCACACAGTATACTGTAACAGACTAAATAAGCTTGTACAATTGATACGTCTCATTCTTTATCAAAGTTAACTTTTAGCATGTCAAATCCTACAGTACATCAAAAAGTGACAAGCACTTACCATAGCTGTAATTATTCTATTTTTGTAAAGCAGTTCAACAGTTCAGCAGTTCAGCAATAATCCTGGGCTTGCAATGAATAGGCTGTGTAATCCAGTTTTAAGTAGAAGGTGTTCAGTCTCTCTGTTCGAACTGCACCTGAAAACCAAGATATTAGTTTCACACATGACTGCCTCTCAGACAATTCTGGCTTGATCTGTGGCCAGGTCTCATCGTGACCAGTGGAAAAGATCTGTTTGCAGCAGGGTGCATTGACAAAGCTCAGTCCCAAACGTGAGTGTACACTTACGCAAAAGAAACTGTAGAAGAAGGAATATGTTTAAAGGTAAAGCCCATCCCAAGTTGCTCACTGTTTTGAACGTCTGTGGGGTGTGGTGCAGACTGAATCCTATCAGTATCTGGTAGCTTAGCAACAAATGTGCAGGTCTGTTCCTAATTACAGCAAACAACAACTCCCTCTAGATACTGTAGGCTTAATTTTAGTATTTAAGTTTCTTCAATCTTCCTTCTCTGTTCAGCATGGAATAAACCTACTACTTGTTCCTTTGCAGCCTATGCATGCTGATGCAGCTGCCCACCTGAACTACTTAATTTTAGTGTTACTGCAGGTGAATGGAAGCACATAGCTGTATCAGTACTGTAAGTGAGCAAAGCACATTTTGAGTAGTTAATTTTAGTTAAATTCTGAAGTTATGACTACGCAAACATTACTCACGCAGAACTATTGACACAAAGTGAGGTTGTCCACAGAAATGTCTGTTTAGCTAAGCACACTGCCGGTAGGTATCTTTGATCTAGACTCTGAATGTTTAATCATCCAGGTGTGACAAAGTCATTTTAGAAGACAATGTAATTTAAAACTGAAGGAAAACGTGTACATGAAATGGGGCCTAGATGAAGAGTGTAAACTAGGTATAATAATAAGTGTAGTACAACATGGAACTGTTCAAAGCATGCTGCTCAAATTAATATATTTTAATGATCTTGGGACTCAGGTAACCTGGATAAACTAAGGATCTAATTGGAAAATTATTTTAACAAGGGGAGTAGCAAACACTCTAGGACCATAAAAGGAAATAGAAAGTCACTATTTGGGGGATTATTAATCTGACAATTAAATGAAACTCTTCCATATGGATAGTCTTCTGGAACAAAATATGCAGGAAATAATGAGACACAGACTGTAACCAATTTGTTTCTATTAGGCCTGATGGCAGAATATGCAACCCCAAACGCTTATGATGGAAAGAGAAATAAAGCTGTCTTGGTGCACTAATCCATATTTTGACAATAATGTAAAGTTCGGGGTGATAAAATAATAAAAAGATGTAAAAAAAATGACAATCTCAGTGGGTACAGCAGACGGGTTTTAATAATGATATTCTATATAACAGCTTATTTCAATTCACCAAGAGTACATTTTATAAAAGAATAAATACATTTAAAAATAGACCTTTCAAATGAAAAGATGAGAATGCAAGTGAAATAATTTTACATGCTTTTATGTTTTCTCTATTCTCAGCACATATAAGAATTATTCTTATAAAGGAGGGTTAAGACTGTTGCCTTAAAATCAGAGAACATTAAGAAAGGATCTATACCTCTCATTCAAGTAAACACAGCCTCTTGTCTACACAAAATCAGCCATGGACAAAAATATTGCTTTTTGACCACATTATCATTGATCCAGTAGGGAAATATTATCAACACAAATTTAATGGCAGGGACTCTATTTACAAAACCAAGGCCCAGTCATAATTACTATATGAAAAAAAAGCCAAATATACTATATAGAAAAATATAATATTTTTCTACATGGACTTTATAATTATTCCTGATTTTTTAAAAGAAACATTTGTGCAATATTTTGTAGGCTTAAAGTATCAACATATATAATATCAACAGTATTTCACGGTCTTTTTTGGTATTATCATTGGCCTTTGAGCAATTCATGCTTATTATACCAAAATCATACCTGAAACATGCTGATGGGCTGATGGTCAAAATGTTAATAAAGTCTTGGGAAACAAATACTGAATGTGGCAGGAAACCAAAACGTATTTCATGACAAATAATGGGATGAACTGTAGATATGGCCCTATGCACAAGACTTTTTAAAAGTTTAAAATGTTTTAAAATAATTTAGTTCTGAATGTACATGAAACACGAAGCAGGGTAAATATTATACAGTAAAACAATAACATTCTAAATAAATTGTTAAAATGTGTTCTGTGGAGCAGAGCAGAAAAATCCCAGCTTTGCAAGGCTTTCTGATTTACAAACTGTTAGACCGTTCATCAATACCTGCACTGTATAACTAATTCTTTACCAAACTAAACTACTTTATCTCCATGGATAGATATACTAGTACTGTATATAGTATGTACTGTACATCTCAAACAACAGAGAGCTTAAAGCTCCATTAAAACTACTCTAAAGTGCATTTATGACAAAAAAAAGAACAACAAATTACAAGATAGACAGCAAAACATCTCTATCATGAAGCTGTTGAGCATTATCCAGTTTTTTTTTTACTTATCTTTAATCGCTGCTCCTCATGGCGTGGATAGTGCAAATAATTCAATTCAACTTTTAAAACAGCAGTCCAAAAATGTATGACAAAAGTGGGCTCAGTGCAATTTAAACAATCTGATTGTGCAGTGGGGTTCTATTTTAAAAACCAGAACGAATGAGTTCCAATTAACATTTCGAATAAAAGATGGTAATGATACTGTAGCAGACGCCTTTAGCAAATGTACCTGCTCACAGTTAATCAATAACATGTATAGAGTTTTATTACATCACCCTCTGTGTCATTTCATTAGCCCCTCTGAGGTCTTTGCCCTCAAGGATGCTTCATTAATTGGTAAGAAAACTATTTAGGATGGTGACTATTTTAGCGAAAAGACAACACCTGCAGAGAAAGACATTTGATTTGCATCACGGACTTCAAATTAGTATCATCCCATATTTACCTCACTTTTTCCTCCAAAAAAGTTAATTGAACTTTTACCCTGAAACTATCTAAAAAAGTTACGTACAACTGAGCTGTATTCTTAGGCACTTCAGAAAAGCAATAGCAGTGGAATAACTGTTTCTTAACAACATGTAACGTATAAGAGATGCAGCTGAATGTATTTAAACTTCACAGAGCTTTTTTAGTTGGCCTTGTCTATTAACTTTAAAGTTTCCCCACATTTGGCATAATGAAAGTGCAGAAGATTAGTTTTTGTCTCCACTATCCAAAGAGAAAAAAATACACAAATGAGATCAACCACACATTCCAACACACAAGGTTAACCAGCACCAAAATAATATATACAGCACATTTGGTAGCTTAATTCCACACGCTCAATGTACAGTATTTAAATAACACAGAAAAATAAAATAACCATAGACACCAACATTGAAGGACTAACTATAACCTGCAAAATATTAGTTATAAAACTTAAAAACAGGCATAAAACTGAAAACAAAACCTCTATGGCATGTCACTGCAGCAGGTGGTGTAAACCGAATGTTCACTTGCCTGGTATGAAATCCACTAATTTGGATATTCAAAACAAAAGTGTAAGGTTGACTGTCAGTGCAGAAAAGTCTACCTTTAGTACCATTTTGACATTTCTAACAATATGGTATATAAGAAGAGGTGTTAAAAACAGAACAGATGAGTATTCTCACGCTTTTCATGATTCTCTCCATATATTTCTTAATTCTCGTTAACCACTCAAGTGACTGGAATGAAAGCTGAAATTTGCTTATGTGAAAGTACCCCAAATGGGGTAAAAGTGTGTGTAAAAAAACTCATTATAAAAATTATTTATCATCTATAACGATAAGTTTCTAACTCAACCGCAAACTTCAAAAGGTTGCCATACACAAGGAATTCAACATGTAGTTGAGAAATGTAACTTTTTTATGAGTTCTGTGTTGAGCTCAGTCCATTGCTGACAGACAAAAGGTTGAAAATTGTAGCTTTTATCAGGGGGAAGTGGGTTTGAGTAGGGCAACTTTAACTAAGTAACACCTTTAACACACAGTGTAGACATTTGTTTTAAATGAATACACAAGCAAGCTTATTTGTAATGTTAAAAAGCTCTTAATGTTAAAATGATAATAATTGTTCTAATATTGATATAAAATTATTATCAATAACTCCACAAGGGTTTCTGTACCAGTGAGAAAGGTGTCCAGGAAATACAATATACAGCCAGTCTAAAACAGTTCACAGGCAAATCTCTTCAGGCAAATCACTCTGAAAGCTGAAATACACTTACAGTGTTATTCTCATTTCTCAGTTAGAACAAAATATCTCCCTTTCTTATTCCTCAGCTACTTTTTTATACATTTTAAGCATTTCCTTACAGAAGATTAGTTAATCCCTCCTCTACAAGTTTTATTAAAGATATAAATAATAAAAGTAAGTGTTAAAATAGTACTTAATGAGCACAGTAGGGCTAATTTAGGATATTTTTACAAGTACTGAAAATCTGCTTATAATTACAGACCCAGATTAAGATGAATTCTTGTGTAACACACAAAATAAATAACCAGCTAATAGAAGACATAGGGAAATGATCAATTGCCTTTATGTGAGGGAGAGTGATCTAATGAAGTGAGTGCCCCACAATGGTGTTATCTTCAATAAGAAAAATGGATTTCTGCATCACACTTTGTAAATGATGATTTTGAAATAAGACACGGACGGCTCTATGAAACTAATAATGTGCTCATACTGTAACTCATTTGAAGATATTACAGTACCAATCCAGAATGTTGGAGAATCTATAAAATATTGTTTTCCTATGTTAATGTTTACTATATACTGTACATGTATTTTAAGTCCAGTGGAAGTCCAGATGACTGCCATTGTTGGCAACAGGCACTTTTTTGGGATTTTTAATTGGTCTATTTTGATAGCTCTTCATCTTCATCCTGGCTGTCCAGGTCCAGCTTCAGTGAGCTCAGGGTTTGTCTCACCATCACTGACTCCTTTCTCCTGCAGACAGAACACAAACAGGACTCGTCTCTTTCTGCTTCAAGCTGCGTCTTGAATATAGAGCAAAGAAATCTTACCCTTCCCCCTCCTCATAGTGTGACCTTAACAGCCCAGCCCTGTTCTAAGAAATGTATTGAGGATGGCAGTCTAACTGTACCATGTGACCCTGTTTTACGTGTGCATTAAGATGGACATTAAGAAGATACAGCATGTCAAGTCATGAGATTTTTATAATCAATATAAATCATTTATGTCATACATAAATCATAACTGCAAAGTGTCTTAGTGAAATGATTATATCATTAGTATCTGCAAAGAAAACAGCATTCCTAAATCCTATTTACTCCCAGATTTAGTCCCAGATTACTCTTGTACTTGCATACAAAAGTAAACTTGTTACCGAACAGTATAAATAAAATTCTTTTGAGGTTAAGACACATGAACTATCATTAGTGTTCTGGTGCTAAAGCATGCTATTATATAAATATACTGAATATGCAGAACACCACCACTATCACTTGCAGAAAGTGGAGGATTTATTTCAAAAAGGAAAATGTTAACGAAAATTAAAACAACATTAAAGAAACTCATACTGGAGTTTCTTTAATGTTGTTACCCCATCTGTAATGGATTAAATCAACACAAAAGTGAATTTATCTTGTTATGAAAGAATGGAAACAAAACAATATAGCTTAGACATGTCGTTCCCAAATTATGAGAATGAAAATGTTTTTAAAAAGATAAGTAACAGGAAAGTGAATACAGCCACTGGCACAGCCACCCTCTAAACCAGTTTGATTTATGAAAGTTTACATTTTCATGTCATGTCTTGATTATTTATGAAACACTTATCAAATAAAATCTATTTTCTTCATTTGAGGTTACTTCTGTCTGGTTGATGGTTATAATATTTGGGTTAATGACTACAATCATCATTTATGATGCATGATGCTACTAAACACACAGCCTTTTTTGACAGTATAGCACTGACATTCATGGACAAAACAATCAAACTGACTGCAAATGTTTTCTTTAATCTCCTAAATGTGCATTCAGCTTCACTTTAAGACTGCTTTGGTCCTTCAAAGAGCCATGTTACTTCATTCATCATCTAACCAATTCATCTAAATCTGGGTTGCGGGAAAACTGGAGCCTAACCCAGCATGCAACGGGCACAAGGCGGGATACACCTTGGACAGAATGCCAGTCCCTCACAGGGCACACACACACAAAGACACAAACAAACCAGGGCCCATTTCCCCAGAAGCCACTTAACCTACCAGTATGTTCTTCAGATTGTGGGAAGAAACTGGAGTGCCCAGGGGAAACCCATGCAAATATTGGAAGAATATGCAAAACCAAGGCAGTTAGCACCTCAAGAATTGAACCCTGGACCCCAGCGCTGCGAGGCAGCAATGCTAGCCACTGCAACACCATGCTAACCAAGCATTGTCATGCTTGAATCATGAAAATCCAAGGTAAGGCATAGATTAAGCAACAGGCTTGTCAAAATATCCCTGTTCGCTGTTCCAGGTAATCTGTCTATGGATCTCTAGCAGGCATTACAGCTAGTAGTTATAGTGGGGATGTGAAAGGTCTGTGGAAGTACATTATGTCAGTGGAAGGTGCCTGTAATTGAAATCCCAGGTAAGATCTTACTTGAGCTGGATCTGCTGGTCCAGGAGCTGTCTCTGAAGGCGGCTGTTAGTCTCACGCTCCTCTGCCAGCTCCCTCTGGGTATGTCTGTACTGGGTGTCTCGCCGGCTCATCTCCTCCTCAGCTTCATTCAGCTGGCGCTTCAGAGACCTTATTCTCTGGGCCATCTGAAACCACAGACACGGCCGTCAGCGACATGGACGCTCTCAGCTACCACAAACTCACTCACTTCCTGTCAGTGCCGCAGAGTGTTGAAGACGAAGCAGACATCTTATTGAGAAAATAAAAGGCGAGTTTTGCCAACAAATAGAATAATTTACAGTAAAACTGAATTAGTCCACTCTTGGGGAATCAGAATGCATATAGAGGGTCAGTATAGACAGGAGGCTGTCAGAAATATAAAAGCACATCTACTCACACTGTGCAGCCTACTGACTGCCCTTTACACACACCCACAGTAACACTGTCAGAAATATTCTTTATATACGTTCTTGAGCCCAGTTATTCAATGTACAAAACCCCTATCCCACGTTACTTGGTGTTTTTCTGTCAATAGCATGTCACACAAAATGATTTAGCTGCAAAACCCCCTCCTCTCTCAAGAACCCAAAGTTAAACATGATTGCGGCCTCAAATTGGAACACACACACACGCAGTGTTTTGATAGTTATCTAGCCTACTCTGCAATGCCTCCTTGTGGTGGAAAATTCATTCTCCTACCAGATCCTTCTGTTCTTCAGCCAGCTTGTGATCCTCCTCGAGCTGATCGGTTAACTCTTTAATCTTTCTCTCCAGCTTCCCGATATTGTTAGTCAGCACAATTTTATTCCTGCAAAGCAACACAGCTATTTAAGTAAATGAAAATGAGAAAGTAAATGAAAATGCAAAGTCTGCCTCGGACACCTAGAACTGTGATGAACAGTTCTAGGTTCTAGGAACATTTTTATTCATATAAAAAATCCTTTTCACAGTCGAAATCAGGAAAGGATAATACTGCAGTTTTTCTTAGATATATGCGATTGGCTTATTTTTTAATATGTTATTAATGAGGGGAGGTCATTCAGCCAATATACCTTTCTACCGGTGGTAGAAGCTAAGATAGTTGATCTGAGGACTCAAGTGTTTCTTGATTGAAGCCTAGGTATCAACTTTGAAAACTTAGGGGGGCAGTTTTCCCAGAGCCCTTACAATGTATTGCACTCTTCTGTTCAATTAACTTTGAATAGACATTTATACTTCATTATCAAAAAGGGAGGATCACATTGAAGCCATACAGTACATGGTGATGTACAGCTCATAGATAAAGGAAGACTAAGCAGACAGCTCAGTAAGCTGGTTTCAAAAAGTGCTCCCAGAGAATAATCCATCCTGCTCAGGTGGTCTTTTCCACTGACCTCTCTTCAGTTCTCAAGGAACTCTCCAGCTCCTTCACCCTGATCTCAGCTCGAGACACGACCTCCTCTTGTACTCTTGAGTTCTGCAGCTCGTGCAGCTCAACACGCAGGTCCCTGATCTGAAAAAGCAGAGTGAACCGAGTACAATCACGCCTTGTCTGCAGCCACATTCACATTCACTGTCCTTCACAAATTAACGGTATCCTTCAGAAACCTCTACTTGTAACATCAGAAGACACTAATGGGTAATAAAGAGCTCATTTGAAGTGATGTTGTATGATATCTTGGAAAACTGAAACTGGAACCTCGAGCCTATCCGATCCAGAAAAAAACCTTGTCCATCTGGTATCCTGACATAAAACAGGACACAACAAGACTTTCACTGTTGTTGGATCGTTAAGACTGACTAGATTGTAAAGGAATTTGTGAAGGAAGGTAACTTCTTAGCACACTGATTACATCAGCAGATACTATGTGAAACGTGGTGGTATCTGGTCATATGTTTAAAAATAAAAGTCTGATACTCGAATAACTGCAACTAATCTGATAACTGCAAAGCAATCTCAAAAGGTGTGATTTAAAAACAAAAAAGGCTTGTCAAAACTGTTTCTCAATTTTTTGTATTATGTGATGACATTTTAGTTTTTTCTTCACACATTAAATGTTCTAACAGAAATGCTGTGGTGAGTTATGATGTGTGTATGTGTGTAACAGAAACAGGGTAAAGATCATGGAACATATTTTCATTTTCCTGCACTCCAATTACAATAAATGCAGCAGATGTGTACCTGTCTCTCCAACACTGTTTTCTCACACTCCACCTGTTCCCTCAAATCTCTTTCTTGTATCATCTTCAGCTGAAGCTGCTCATTCTGTAAAGAGCAAAGTGTTATTATTTTAATAACAAACATACCCCATGTAATTCTCAATCCTGGATGAAAATTAGGCTTTTTATCTGTAATACTTGAGATCTGGGCTAAAGTCTAAAGTATTAGAAAACTGGGCTTTATATTTGGCACAATCGCCCAAGGTGAAACAGCAAAGGTGCATTGATAGAAGAAAAAATACAAACAGTTACTTTAAAGTTGTTAGAACACCTCCAATTTGATTCTTGGAAGTACAACTACCACCACTGCTAATAACAAAATATCTAGACCCCCATAGCTTGTTATAGCACATCCTACAGCACAGTGTCCCATGTCACTATACTAGGTTATTGGTTTGGAAATTGTGGGACATGGGGAAAACTGCAAATTATTTGTCTACCATCAGCACTTACAGAATCAACCTCATTTTCCTTAGAAGTTTCCCAATTTAGTACTGACCCAGGCCAGCACTATTTATTTTCTAAGCTCTGACAAGATCAGGCTTCAGGAAGATAATGCTGCTGTAGTAACACATGTAACTGTATACATCACTGTACTCTTGCGTCTTCTTCATTCTGCATTGAACACCACAATGGTGTCGGCAATAAGAAAGACCTTGTCCTAATGTACTTACAGCAAGGACAGACTGGGAGCAGAGTGCTGAAAGAACCTTTTTCAAAGATTTCTTTGGGCTGCCTTAAATGAATTTCTTTGGGCTGCCTTAAATGAAAACATTGGATGCCTTTTTGATTGCACTTTTAATTATTTTTAATTATTTTTTAAATTAAAAAATTCCAGAAGTTTGGAAACAGACGTCAAGGTTTACAGAGATGTAGAACAGGTCAGAGGTCGGAATGAGGTGGGAAGCTCACCTGTTCGACGGCTCTCTTGTGCTTGCTTGCCCACCTTTGTTCGGCATCATGCATTTCTTCCAAGTCGACTTCCAATTCAATAATTTTTTCCTGTGCGACAAACATGGACAGTACCACGATTAATCAACAAAATGCTTTCAATACTTATTATTTTTTTCTTTCAACATCTCCCATCTTCAAAATAACATGGAACTGGTTTGAAAGGCATGTCTATGTCTCTCCGGAAGGAAGATTTCTTCTCTATTTATGTTTTATTTATTACAGGCCTTATACAAACCCTTAGAAACAGGTCATATTTTGAATGGGGGCTTAAATGCTGCAAATAACACTATTGCCTAGGATCGTATTTGATACCATGCACATTTTGCCACCAAAGACCTTAATAACCATAATATACACTTGTCTTCATAGATAATATTTCACCCTTTGTAAACAATATCACATGGAGCTTGTCCCTAGCTTCCTGTGTATACTCAATCCAGGGGGTGTTATAGGCTTCTTTTAAAAAAACAAAAGTTTGGGGATTGTCCAGATGTGTTTGTGTTTTAATTCCCTGCATTTAATACCACTTTGAGAGTGGAAGGACTGATGTCAGAGGTTGGGGGAAGGACGTTGCTGTCTATGTTCTTGTTTTCTAATTCGTTCTGCTTGATGAAATCTTGTTCTGAGAAGAATAAAAAGTAACCTTTCTGCAAAAATAGTTAGTCTGACACTCAGTTGACATAAATGTTCACTAAACTATGTATACGTATAGTTAAATCATTAGGATGCCATGGAAAGTAAAGTAAGGCAAATAAGAGAAGAGTGGGAAAACACTCTATAGCAAAAAAAAAAGGATATACTATGTATCCAAGTATGGATGTGGTAAAAGGGCCCCTGGACAGTGCACTCTGCCCATGTACCTGAGCCAGCCTGAGCTGTCTGGTGAGTTCCTCCTTGCTCTGTGCTGCGGTCTGGAGCTCCATCTGTAGGTCCTCTAGGCTCCTCTCAGCCTGTTTGCACTGGAGCTGCAAGCGCTCTCTCAGTTGGATCTCCTCCTCTAGAGTCTTTTCCTTATCGAACAGCTTGTCGGACACCTGCACAGCACACCCAACCACCAGAGCTCAGGTTAATAGCGTAAGGCCCAGCGCAGCGATGCTGTTGGACCACTAATAGCTTTCAATTCTAGAAAAGCTTAATTCGCACCCATAGAAGTTTCATTTGGGGACAGAGGAAGTCGTTCTCCAGTTCCGTCAACCCAAGGCAAAACTGATCTAAACAGGTCCCAACAGTAACCAGGAAGGAGGAATCCCATTATGATTCTATGTTAACTATAATAGTACATATAAGTGCATATATTTGCTGCTTCACTTTCTTGGCTCAAAGTTACAATGCTCTAATTAACGTGTATACAGTAACATTTAGTTACCCTAAATGAAAGTACTGGAGCATAATTATCATTGCTCGTTCTCACCTTTTGAAAGCTTTATACTAGGTACACTGAAGTGGTAATGGGAGATAATCACAGGTAGTAAAAGACACTTTTGCAACTTGTGTAAAAAAGAAAATCATTATCATGATCTTTTTATCTGAACACATGTTTGAATATCTTGTTCAAAATATTGATAAACACTTATAAATACGCATTTCATTGAACTTGTGCACATGACAATAAACTGAACTGAACATTACCTCGCCCTGCAAACGGCTGACAGTCTGCTGAGCCCTCTGCAGCTCCTGGGTTTTCTGCAGAACACCCTCCTCCAGCTCTTTCATACGGAGCTGGGAATCATCCTTCAGCTTCTGGTGCAGATTCAGCTCTGCTGTGGCCTGGCTTGCTGCTTGCAGGGCCTCTGCCAGCTATGAGATACAGTACACAGCATACCGTCAAATGATGATTAGGTGAAAAAACCTCAGCTTCAGCCCACTGACAGGCATGCAAAAACAAAACTGTTTATCTAAACTTACATAAAGCACATTCATTTTCCATAGCTCCCTTCTAGCTAGAAGGCATGACTCCCTGTGTGGCTGTCTAGTCACATTATACCACACATCTTTACTAACAACAAGCAACTCACTGACCTCTGAAGCTGTATGGAAAATATACTGACAGGAAGATATATCGTAATTACTGTACATTGAGCACTGTTGGTTTTCTCCGGGTCGTACAGTTTCCTTGAACCTTCCAAAACCACACAGGCTAGGATAATTCATTGTGTCTAAACTATCTCTAAACTCTGAGATGGCTACAATCCCGTCAAGGGTATAGGCCCCCCTTTAGTCCTATTCTACTTATACGTTCTGATAGTAAGTATCTGAGAATTACAGTGCCTATAAAAAGTATTCACCCAATGGATTTTTTTTCCCCCACTTTGACATTATAGACTACTTTGTGTTGATGAGTGGCAAAATTCTAAGTTAAATACATCATGGTTCCATGCTGTAACATAATAAAGTTTGAAGAAGTCCAAGGGGGGTGAATACTTTTTATAGGAACTGTACATCAGCCATGAATATGAGCTACAGTACAGTATATATCCAACTCCAATCTAGTTTAATAGAAGATATGGCAAATATATTTTTTTGAATAGCGATGCAGACAATCATGGATGCTTTATTTCAATTCTCTACTAATTCCACAAATGTTTTGGAATGTTAAATGGTTGAGACAGAGTACAGCTGAAACCCTAGTGCACAGAGTTTTTTATGGCACAGTACCTCAGTCTCTATGCGGAGCAATTTGCTGTTCAGTTCCATGATCATCTTATCTTGGTCCTGTTTCTGTTGTTCATACTCTTCTTGCTTTCTTTCAGCAAGCCACAGTTTCTCGGACAGGCTTTGAGCATGCTGGTTCTGTTTGCCCAGGTTTTCCTGAATAGTAATAATAAAGTTTATTTATATAGCACCTTGGCTTACAGCACGTGGCTTCTCATAGCGCTTTGCATTAAGAAAAAAAAGCACACAATAAAAGGAGACAGGAGAATTATACAATAACCATAAGGATTTGGCAACAGTAGGAAAGCAAGGGGACAGAACCAATTAAATAAAAACACTTCTAAAGAAGAAAGTTCCGATTCTAGATTTGAAAGTGGTCAGGGAAGGTGACTCTCTAATATTTGTAGGGACAAAATTCCGCAGGAGAAGCCCCTGTCACCCATTGTATGTAGATGGGCTTGGGGGACAGAGGAGATGAACTAGATGAATGAAGGTTTATGAGGTGGGGAGCAGGAAGATATAAAGTCAGACAGGTACTGAGCTGCCAAGCCATACAGAGCCTTTTAGGTGAGCAAGAGGATTTTGAATTTGACACAAAACTTGATAGGAAGCCAGTGCAAGGACGCCAGGATAGGAATAACTTGATCACTTGCACAACACCTGGTTAGAATACTGGCTTCTGAATTCTGTATGTAGTGAAGCTTGTTTGAAAAAAAATAAACATGACGCAGTTCTAAAAAGTACTAGCTTTATCTAGGTTTGTATAAATAAAAAGCAACCAAATTTAATGAAATAATTAAGACACCTTGTCATTAAAGCCATAAAAATATGCTTCGAAGCTTGCAATGGCAGAATCCATCAATCTGACAGTTCTCTGTGAAAAACTGATAATCAGTGGATGTTCTCTGGGCTATATTTTCATACTCTCAAACTAAACCACGAAATATTACTAAGCTTCTTAACTGACCAACATCTGGGTAGATCCTCAACAGGGGAAATAGCCATGATGTACTACTTGAACATACTGTATGCCCTAATATTTGCCAAAACAAGATCAAAATAAAGTTGTTGGTTTTACTCCATATTAGTAGTGATTATTTCTAGTAGTGATTTAATGACATTCATGCACCAGTTTTGACAGAAAAGTACTAAGCCTTACCTCAGCATCTTGTATTTTGTTCTTTAAAGACTGCTGTAAGAAGTTGAAAGCATATTCCTGAGCATTGGCCTCGACCATCACTTCTCTTGCCTCTCTAAGTTCAGACTGCAGAAAAAAAAAAGAACAGATCATGTCACAAAACTGTTGTGTCGAGTCAGTCTGATGTGCTCTACATTTATTAGTTGGAACACAGATAAATGATTGTATTTTATTTTGATTTTGTATGGATCTGACAGCATTTCATACTGAGAAAGAATTACTAGAGAAAATGGCAGGTAGTCATTTACTTGATAACATGACTAATCACCATAATCATATGGATAAAACAGGAGGTTAAATGACAAGCTGCTCAATGTCCAAATGGCCTATCAAAACCAGACATTTCACATTGTGAGATGGGAAATGAAAAAATCAATGTAATTTGCAAGTGACAATGGATTTGTCCTAAGACTTTAGATATTAGAACAAAGAAACACTTCAATTACTGTTAAAACCAGGAATTAATAAGCTCAGCACCAAAACCACCAATTACAATTGGTTAGACAGACCTAGTGATCGCTAATTTGCCTACAACTGAGTTCAAGATTGCTTCAAGTCCTTCACAGCTGTAATCACACAAGTTTTGAAGTGAATCTTACTTTTTGCATTTGAGCAAACTATTGTTTTTCTAATTATTGTTACTTCAAAGGACACCTTTTACGGCAAATTACCATGAAACACAAAACTAACACAGGAATGCAGCCAATTTAGTTGCTGGATATCATTAAGGAAAATCAGTCTGTCTGATCTGTCTGTCTGAAAACAGCTAAAGTTGTTGTGAACAGATCACAAATGCAATGAATCAAAGTGAAAGTCTTTATCTAGATTGTGCAAGGCAGATATGGTGAGGCGACAAAACAAAACATTACATTCTTCAAACCACCATAAAGTGGCTTTGCTCTTGAGCCGAGAACTGTTCATCAGCTTTTCGTGTTTCAGGGTAACCGCATTCTAACAACACATACACTTGGCAAAAGCCTCTATAGAACCATTACAGCATAAGTACTGTACTATACTGTACACATAAATTAAGACTGAATATGAAGTGTCAAATATGTGGGTTAGAGCACCACTGGCATTTATTTACATAGGTGTTTGTGAATTCCGGCTGATAAAGTGTTGCAATATAAACTAATAACCGTGGTTTGACCTTTTTTTTCTTTACTCTGCTGCTAATAAGCTACACTTTGTCTATAACATAATTTAAAAAAATATATTTTATGGTGACCTAGGATTTTTAGATTTTTGTTTCTGGCATACTTGTTTGGTATTCCACGCAATGACAAAAGGTTTTAAAGTCAGACTTCCTGTAGGTTTACACCTTATACATGCAATATTCTGTCCAGTATGTCCTAGAACAAATTTACAAATTAAAAGCAGGATTGGAGAACCGGCCAGATGGTTAAATTATTGTTGTTGAGCTCTAATGCAATTATTTTTGCACTCACTGACTTTGAGGGGAACTGAAACAGTCTTCCTTCTCAGTCGAACTGAGATCACCTTTTCAAAACAACTATTTGTAATATTCAGTACCTCCTAAAATACACTAAACCAGGGTGCCAGCTGAATTCCACTGCAAAATTACAGTTTCCTCTCCACAAAAAACAACACCTAAAAAGAATTGTAGAGAGACATGCTGGGCTGTGAGGGTGTGTACAGAATCAGTACTTTACCTCCAGCTGTGAAAATCGCTCATTCATCATTGTGTTTTCTCTCTCCAGCTCCATTATCCTCTCCCTCAGTCTCATCAGCTCTCCTTGCATCTGAGTGTTGGTTCTGAGCAGGTCCTCGTTGTTCACAAGGATTCCTCTCATCTCATAACGGATCTGGTTCCTCTCCTTGTTCATCTCAATACTCTCTGCCTCTAGAAACTGGTTTCTCTGGGAGAAGCAGCAATGACAAATTGAGACCAACCTTCAACTCTTGTTCCACCATTGCATGGCAAAAAAAAAGACTCTACACAGAACACATCCCCATCTGGTTTAAAACCCAACTTTACCACTCACTGTCTGTAGCTGGTGATTTGCCAGTAGAAAGTGCTCAATGGCCAAGTACAAACTGGTGAGGTAATAGAGCTTTCAAATAGTATTTTGGACAGAGGTCACATTTTAATCACACATCTTTTTTGGCATTGCTCCAAGACCCGATCTCTCCACTTTATTCCTCGCAAGTGAGGAGGTTTAAATTAAATACACCATTCCTATAAATTTGGCTCTTTGGAGATTGAGCTCATATGACTGTGAATGAAGTCTGTTCTATAGTTCAAAAATAAGCTCAGAGGTGTTTTTACTGAAAAGGTTTATCAGAAATGTTATGACGAACGACTTGCTTATGATGCATGTGTAAAAAGAACAGTGGAGTGTGAGGGCCGATTTAATCACCAGAAATTAGTGATTGCAACATGAAATCATATAAAAGAAATAAACATTTGAAAAATCTGAACTTCTATTAAATTAAAATGCAAGCGGGATCACAGTTTGAACGGTGTACAAAAATCACATTGATAAAAAAAGAGATTTAAGTTATTTTTCAAATGTTTTAAACCCAATCCCTTTTGCCAGTGTAATATTTAATGGCACATTTTAATAACACAAATCATAGGCACTGTGTGATGACAGTAAGTGAAAATGGCAATACCTTTTGGCATGTGTCTAAAAGCCTTGTGAGCTCCTCAATATAATCTCTCCTCTGCATTCCAGGTCGCATTGAAGACAGAGATGATATTGTCTGTTCAAAAAGTAAAAGAAATGATATCAACATATAGTATTTTAGGTGGGTAGCTGCGTCAGCATGCGTAGGCTGCAATGGAACAAGTAATAGGTTTATTCCATGCTGAAAAAAAGAAGAGAGAAAAAACACATGTTTTGGCCGTGGAGCCTTCTCCAGGTGTGAGGTCCGACACACCTGACACCTGAAGAAGGCTCCACGGCCGAAACGTTGTGTTTTTTCTCTCTTCTTTTTTTCAGCATGGAATAAACCTATATAGTATTTAGTTTGTTTGTATTGTTTGGGTGAGAAAGCTGTTACGCAATGCACATCCACACTTCACTAGCTGCCTATATTGGATACAACTGCCCCTTGGCGGGGGACTGTTTGAAGCAACCTGGAACAACAGGGCTTATTCAGGCGCGGCTCCTGCTCCAGGCTTCAGTCACTCACCCCTTTGACCCTGGTGAGGGAGTCGTAGCCAGTGAAGCGGCTGCGCGGGGTCAGGACTGTGGGAGAAGGAACTGGGCTGCTGCTCGTACTGTTGAAGGAGGGTGAGTAGAGGTTGCTCTCAGATGTGGAAGGAGACAGGCCTTCCTGGGGATTTAAAGGGGAAAACAGCAATTTAGAAGGCTGCGAGGGAGAAGAACAATGTTGGATTTCAAATGAAAAGTCTCACTTTTTCTAGACTCCAATGTGTATGTATAAATGGAATTTTCAACAGAGGTTTGGGAGGAAGGTTAGATCTATATATATATAATCTTCTTTATTTTCCTTTGTGCATTCCCCTCTCACTCCTCCCATTACCCCCACCTCATCTCTTGCAGCAGCTACTTAGCTCATTTCCAATAAAAGTGAGGGGTGAGGTTCCTTAAGGTCAGAGTTTCGTTCTCTCAGTTAGCCGAGCTGGGGTTTTCCAAATGTTTGGCACATATGTACCAGCAGCCCCACTATACAGCAGATTGCCTTTATAAAAGAGAAACTTCAGTGACTCCATAAAGGGGTAACTTTTGGTACAGCAGATTTTCCAAAACCTGATACCTATCCGGAACACGGCTGTTTACAGTTACTATCACTTATGAGTAGTGCCATGAGATCTTTATTGATGAGGAAGTAGAAACCCTGAATTAATGACCAAATGGCCCTTTCTAACCCAGTATGTTGTTGGTCACCCTCTTGAGTCATTGGCTTTGGAATGGGGGGATTTATAAGGGTTAGGCCTGATTGTTTAAACTGAGAATCAGCTTTGCCCAGGTTACTACTCCTTCCAACTGTGCCAGGTAGTCAGGGAATTGGTTTGATGTCTCATTCAAACTATGGGACCTCACACAATACAACCTTGTCACCATGCTAGGACATTAGTTTGAAAATTCTGGTCCAATGGAGGCAGATGCTGATATTTTGATTTTCTGCAGCTGAACAAGTGACCACTTCCCTCTAAATTCTGCTATGAGATATACAGATATGCTTTGAGGACAATGAGTCAGTGACATTTTATAGAACAACAGTTCTGCTATCACAGAATCAAGATCTTAAAGTACAAATTGGCTAAATGCATTTAGATAAAGGGATATTATTGACACTCAGTAAAAGATTTAGAAATTATCTTGTTTTTATATCCATGAGTTGCAAAACCTTGTAGTCTTCCCAGTTACTATACATAATCGTATGTGTCCATTACCTTAGAATTAAGAGTGTGGTCTAAAGATTTTAAAGATATGAAAGTTGGCTAATGACCTGGGAATAAGAAAATAACTAGCTGATTAATTAAAATATATTAATCAAATTATAGCATATACAAATATATTTATTGCATATTACCTTATAATCAAGCACTCTAAAGGGTCGATCATAGTCCAAAGCTATGTTCTTATAGGGACTATTGAATCCTCGAGATGGACTGTCTGAGCCACCCAGCTAAAACAAAAGAACAAGAGACACAGTTTAGACACACTGCTATTAACCTAACAGGTGACTAATCATCTATGCAAATGTCATTATATAGTAGAAATTACTTCCACTATAAATTGAAATTTTATTTTAATTTATTCCCTTGGAATATCACTTGTGTCGAAACCTTTATTTGTAATGTTTTGGCTTCAACATTTCAAGTCGGTAATTTGAGAAATACTCAGAGGAAAAATTAAGGATCTGAAAAAAACTCCAAAGGCAATTTACAAAAATCTGCTGCCAGTTTCTAGTCTAAAGGTCAGAAGAAAGTATTGCCTGCTACTAAGCCCATATGCCTAATTGCAGTATTGCTTAACTCAATTACATCAATCTAACTCACTACACTTCAGCTTCTGTTTATAATAAGTGTAGGGATACAGACTTTCTAAAGAGCTCTTTATGGTCAGATGCTTCCTCTTCCATGATGTCATGCTGTTTTTGGACAAGGACTGTTAACAAGCCTCTACCTAAGATCTAAATTCCAGAACACATACCTTATCTGACATGGTATCCCAGTCTCTTGAAGCAAGGGATTCCATCGAGCCCAATCGGGAACTTGGTCTGTCTAAATTATTGGTCAGACCCAGGTAAGGACTGTTTCCATTCTGTCCATTCTCGCTTGCTCTGCTGTCTGTGTTTCTGGAAATGTTTTCTAACCCTTCACCACCAAGAAACAATTTATATATGGGGTTTTGGTTGGCTTTAGAGTTGGATGACTGACTTCCGGTTGATGACCTCTCTGGTTTCTTATATGAATCAGTCTGTGGTTCCTAGAAAGTAAGCAAACCAGAAAATTATGAGTATTCGAGTGTAAGTAAAGCTCAAACTAGCACATCAGTACCTACCAGATGTATGGTAGTATCTTAAACTGTTTGTATTTTATTTCCTTAATGAGAGATATCGTTTGTCCAATGCAAGTAGCCTTTATCTTTTAATTCAACAGGTAACGATTCACGATAATTGTCCATCATGATAAGGAAGTGTGTCTTGGTGTGTCTTGATTGACAACTTGGAGGACATGGACTGGGTTGCAGGTTAGTCAGGTTATTTTAATTTTGTGCATGCAATACACAAAAGCATGATGTAACATAGCATTAAACATACTGTAGATAAACAAAGGCACGTGCAAAAGCAAGCAAAAGGTTGGAATGATATAGATGAGAGCCAAAATAAAGCAGAAATATAATAAACTGCTAACTGATCATCCTGATTCAATGCTGTGAATGTTGAAGTTTCTGTTAACAAAAAGCTGTTACAGACACATTAGTATTGCATTATTATCCAGTGTCCTGGTGAATAGCAGACATAGTAATGTTAGAAGATATTCATATGAAATTTAATTTGGTGACAAAAAAATCTGTGTGAAAATAAAAAAAACGTGATATTGCAAAGAAGTGACAGGCAGTGTGAAAAACAGTATAAAATGGGATGAAAGAAAAATTATGCCGAGGTGAAGGGTCCAGGTCCATTTTCTTTGCCTTGTTTCTCATTCACCTAGTTTGGCTTAATATTTCTATGTATTCTCTACACACAATGAATAATAAATGGTCATTTTTGTAATATAAGACGACATATCCTATTTTTCACCTTTAGTGTCAATGCATTTTCCATAGACGCACTGGGGAGACTGTCATTATTCTGGGAAGTATCATGGCCCACAGTGACATTTGTAGAGTCATTGGCCACAGGGAGGTTTTCACAAGATCCATCTTGTGTTGCGTGCTTTTGTTCAAATATTGTTTGGCACGGGGCAGATATCACTCTGAAGGAAGGCTGTGGGCTCTTATTGTCCTCGGTTGTCCTCTCCTTGTTTAGTGTCCCTTTGTCACTCTCACTACAAGTGGAAATAAATGTCTCTGGTCTCGTCTTGCTCTCTTCCATCAATTCCGAGTCTGAGCAACTCTTTTCTGAGGACTTGCGTTCCATCTTATGGTCACCAGTTGGAGATAAGCATGAGGATATTTTGGCATTCTCATTGCCAGAAAACTTATGAATCAGCTCTTTAACGCTGCCTGATCTTTTCAAACCCGTTACTTTCATGATAGAAGCATTTTTGTTAGTAGTACCAGCCTTTGAGCCAGGCTCAGAATGGAAATAGGATTTTCCATTACAGTTAACAGTTTGGTTATTAAGAGGAGACTTTGATATGACGGGGCTCTCATCTCCATTTTGATGAGAGGTGCTGCTTTCTTTAAGAGAACAAGGAGGAAGGCTTCCTGCTGTCTGTTTCGGGAGATGAGCATGACTACGGGATGACTCCAGGCTAACGTTTTCCTCATGCAGAATAGAAGTGCCATTTTCTGAGATTCTTCTAGTGTCCTTGCCAACAGTTCCCTAAAAAAAACAAGCTTTTATTTCAACAAGGTGAATCTATCATTTAAGAAGTTTATATTGTTCCTCTATCCTTTCTTGTCAAATTTGCTATACTCTATCTAAAGAAGTATGCATCGACTTCTAGACATACTAGCCAAGAGCCTAAGTATTGTTTGAATAATAAAAAAATATTAATTGTTAATCACAAATTAACATTTTAAAAGTATATATACATTTTCAGAAATTTAAAGAACACATTTCTTTTGTCAATAATCATACTTTACATTGCCATAGTGGGGCACCAGCTTTGTGAGAAAAGCTATGTCTAGTCTGAAATACAGGAACTAACACAGATAATATAAGCTTCCAACATCAATCTGGTCTTTCCAATTTGTAATTTGCAAACTATAGGATTTGTATCAATGGTAGTATATTTTCTTTTATTAAATGTCTACAACCAGCAATTTATCCTACAATTTGTGTATCCCTATGTACAATATAGGCAAACATTTTTTAATTGCCTAACTAGGTACTGAATGGAGAGGAGAATATTTTTTGCAAGAGATCCATTTAGCAAAAACATTTTTTATCACATAGCACACATAAAAAATATTTTTATTTTAGAAGTATTTAGTATTTTCTAAAGGCTCATGAAGATTGTTTATTAAAAATTTGTGTTCAATCAAAGATACTTTCTTTAATAAAAAGAAGAGACTTTGATGTTTAGCTAATCAAAAATATAAACTTTACCTGTGTTGTTTTTTATTAATTTACATAATTTACCATTCACATAACTTAAATAATTATTTTGTTTTTGCAATTATTATTAGCATCTTAATTCGTTTATGAAAATAATTGTGAAAGGCTGATTTTAATAAGCTTATTGGTTTCTTTTTGGTTTCAAATTCCTGTATTCGGATCTGTTTAAAGAAGGGAAGACGTCTGTTTTTCTCTTTTTCAATATATAAAAAAAACAATTAAGGTGCCAGAGGCACACTGACAGAATTAGTTTTTTACCTACTTTCCTTTTACCTGCTCTTAAAAAAATGTATCTCCTTTATACTCTCTTTATTGGATTTGTGCTTCCCTTATTATTTTTACTGTTGTTGTAATATATATTTTTGAAAAAACATTAGTTGGGAGCACAATTCACAAAACATTATTTGTCAATCTTAGAAAAACAGGGAATACAATTTGGTTAATTTGACGTGGAGCATACATATACATTTCATTGACATTATTCCAAGCGCATGCAGAGCTGAACAAAAAGCTATTAGTGGTTAGCTAGAAGCCTATTATCACTAAGACAACAAACAGTTACTGTGCAATCAGTAAGCCATCAGAAAGCAGCATTACTAATTATTACGAAGGAAATTGTACTTGAGAGGTCCAGGAAAATACATGAAAATGAATCTTAAAATCCAATTTCAATACACAGACGGTGGCTACAATGATAGAGCTGTAGTGTTTTAATTTTGTCTACTGGTCAAGTTTCGAAACAAGTCTTCTTTGAGTGCTGACTGGGCTTGACAGTCCAGAGATCACTGCTTCAGATTAGGCCATTAGCCAGCTGTGGCCTCCAGGTGATGGTGATAGGCAGAACTGATGGGCTCTGTACTACTGTGGGTAGTGCTGTTACGTTAAGATCAGAGCAATGGGAATTCCAGGACTCCATGAGATTGTGATGTGATGAATCGACGCTGGAGCAGCCCCTCAACAGATCCCTCAGCTTTTCTGCTGATACTGGGAGACTCCAGTGTGAAAAGATGTGGACCATCTGCCAAAGCACATTTCAGATGCCTTCATCCCTCTGCTATGATGGTTGTAGCATGGAGTTGATGATTAAGAATTACATTTTACAAAAGAAGGTCTCCTCTCATAACTTCTTTTCTCATGACAGTGGAACGGAGTATCAGATTTTGGGTCTAAAGTATCTCAGTGCATGTGGCCCATGTATAGCACATGGAGTTGAAAAAAATGCACCATGCATGAAAAACTGATGTCTGCATGGCATTGTGACCTAACACATTACATGTTGTTAGGTTTCCTTTGTTTCTGTGTTCTGTCACATCCCAGAAAAGAAACCAAAGAGTGATAAATGGACGTTATTTTAAAAATCCAACATCTATTATTGCAGACAAAAGATGAAGTATTAAGAACTATGAATAAGGATTGTAATAGACAGCAGAGCAGTCTAGTATATTGTTCCTCGACTGCTCATACTCACGACAAACACGAGACTCAGTAGTGGTATCTAGTTTTTCCCAATATACTGTATAAGTGTGAAAAAAAAAGGTCGTTACACCCTTGCATGTAGAAGATGATCCTCCTTAACATTTCTTTAGCACTGGTGTAATGATGTACACATTGAATGAAAAGCAATAGTGAGCAATAAAGCAAAAGCACACAGTAGCAGAGTCAAAAGTGTTGCATGTTCATTCTCCTGCACTTTCTATTCTTTAAGTTAGTATGCACCCTTGCACAAGCACTTGCAGAGCTTCCATTACTTCCAGTTACTATAGGTGCAGGATTAGGGAAAAGTGCAACCATGTAGCATTAGCAATGCACAGCTGGCAAAACAAAGACATATCACCGAAAACCATAGTTATCACATTCATGCATTCATGCATCCTAGCAAGACAAACATCTTCACAAGCACACAGGACCATGCTTACTTTATCTTTAGCCTTTCCACACCATAACTTTCCTTGCATAAACTGTATTTAAATACCTCTACAGTTCTGAGACAAATCCCCATTGCATAGCTTTTTCCTGAAGACTGGCAATGAAAAAATAAACAGCTGTCTTCCTCTGCCCTACACACAAAAAATACAAATCTGCAAATAAAAAGCAGACCAAGATTACCAGACAGCTCTCTTCCTCCATCACTCTGGACACTTTGTCTGAGAAGTTCTGAAGATGACCAGCCTCCTCCCGATATCTCTGCATATCTTCTCCAAGCATTTCCTGTAGTACTGTCAGAGCTTCTTCCTGCTGCCTCAGTTGAAAAACCTGCACCTCCTTGTTGTCAATGGATTCCTTTACAATCTGCCTCTCTCTCACCAGCTCCTGGACAGAGGAACACAAGACACTTCACTCAGACTTGTCACCGACTGCGACAAACCTCCTTCAGTGTTATCTCACTGGCTGTACTGGAGCCAAGTGCTGCTCCTGCTGGGTCAAACAAATTACATTCGAAAAAAGCAGCATGAAAAGTGACCAATGAATTTGTACTTAATACTTTTTCTTTCTAATGTGGCGATATCAATAGGTTCATGTCTAAAGAATCATAATGCAAAAAAGGTCAATCACAGATTAAATACATAATAAATCAATGTTTCACTATCTACAGTATGTTTACAATACACTGTAACAAATGTGCACACCCATAATGCTGCCTTCAGCAAGCCAAAGTGAAGAACTGTATTCAGTCCACCATCTGGACATTTCACATTCCAGATACTTGGAAATCCCAGATATCCTCATACTTTTGGTTATTCTTTTCTTGTCTGGGTAAGAAAATGTTTTTTTTTTTTCTGAGACTGTAATAGATCCTACAAAGGGGATGTCCTCACTTTCTAACATATAGTAGTTACTTACCACTGTCTCCTCAGAGGCTTCACTTTTCCACAGCCTGGTCTCGGTTTCTGAAAGATGGGCCTTCAAGACTTTCAGTTCAAAGCCCAGGTGTTTCTGTTGCTTCCTCACCTCACCAAGGCTACAATACACAGAAAAAAGCATGGCATTCAATGAGGACTTCCAAAACATCCTTTTTTGCTGTTGTACATTTTTGGTATATTTCAAAATGTACAATTAATGTACAGTAGGGGGTTCAGAAAAACACAAATGAATGATTACAATAGTAGGGGGCCATTTGGCCTATCTAGTTCATTTGGTGTTACAAGGATCTCACCAGGTTCTAGGTAAGTAAAGATCTTCTGTGCTGTAGAAATTAAAAACGAGTAGTCTCTTATTGTTGGATTTTGCTTCCAATTAGGTAAAGAAGCTGGTTTCTGGCCTAACATTTACAAACCGCCATTGACTGTTTTTGTTTTCGACTTTGGTTTATGCCTCTATTTGAGTTGAGCTTTACAAGGACAATTATTATTCATGCGCAAGCAAATGTTATTGTTTTCAAAAATGAAAGCTAATTATGAGTTAAAAACCACAGGAGCTGTACTGTGTAGTGTGTGCCAACAAGCAGCTCAGCGCTCATGTGTTTCCTCACTTCTTTTCACCTCGTTGTTGTGCAAATCGCACAGGAAATGTGAGATTTCTATGTTTATGTTCTCTGGCATCTGTATGCAGTGCTAACAGTGGACTTTTAATAAACCAGTTTGTCTAAATACACAGTTTGAAGTAATTTCAGCTTGCAGCCCAGACGGCAGGCACATGTTGGATGCAGTGCATAAACTGTTAAGTCCTATAAAAATGCAAGCAAATGCATTCATATACTTTAAATCAAACTATGGTTTGGTGTATACAGTATATGAGATATATATTTCCTGTGATTAATTTAAACATACATAGTGTATATACATTACACTGGTTAAAAATCTGAATAAGTTACATGGTTTTTCATCAAATGAATAAAATACAGCTCTTTATTACTGAATTGTTTGCACGCTACCTTGTTCTAAAAATGCACATAAAAAAAGTGACTGATCAAGATTTACAAGATAAAGACAGTGCAATATTATAGGTGGACGATGCAATACACTGAGACTAAGCAGAGCTTGGAAAAAATGTTTTGTATAGCCTACTATTACAGCCAAAATGTCATTTTGTAAAAAGAAGTTCTGCAACACCATGAAGACTTCACATGTTCCACACTGATTTTTGTATTCCCAAAATGTGAACACTAGAGGGCGACATTAAACAATCTGCATCTAACAAGCCTTTGGGGAGCACGACAGCAGCATATTGTACCAATATAGACCTGGCACCCCTTTATAGTACACAGTTTTTTCAGTTGACAGAACCCACATAAAGTACAGTATGGATGTCCCGTTCTCATCTGCACAGAGTGGTGAAACATCTCCAAAATAGATCATTTTAGACTCAATGAGTCATTAACGCTCCCTCTAAACTAAAATAAAATAGGTGTGAGCATGATTCTCCTTAGCACTGTGCAGTATCATAGCACTTAATTAACACTGTGCTTACTGTTTTGGGCTTTTAGTGTTGTTTTATGCTAATGTTATGCACACTCTTGGCATTCTGACTGAATGGATATGTAAGTATCTTTGGATAGAAGCACCTGTGAAATGAATAAACATAAGTATAAAATAATTAAACTACTGGTTTTGCCGAATTAGGTGAAAAATGCTCCCATTCGTTCCATCAAACTGTTTGATCATAACCTCAAAAAGAAATTATCCACATATTAGAGGAAGGAGATGCAGCAAATTATATCGTAGTTATTGCTTTAAAATGTAAACATATTGAAAACACACACAAGATGTCTAATGTTTCTTTAGTTTAACAAATATTAGAATTAAAAATAGTGTTTTCTTTTGTCAATATGATTTTTCATAAGATAGGATACATAAAAAGTTTGAACCATGGAGAAATGCATTTTTTTTAATATACACATATAAAGAAATACGTTTGTTTTGAGAAACAGGAACAATGCAGTGAATTTGGAAAATAAATATTCTGAGCAATGGAAATTATTTACTGTGCTTTACTTTTGTACACCCTTCAAAACCATTGCACAAAATAAAGGAATATGACATTCAAAACAGTACAATTGTTATACAAACCACAATTATATCTGTAAAATATCAATAGGAATTGAACAGGGTTTGAGGAATTCAGCACATACTGTACATAAGGCATGCAAACCCTAAGATCTTCATTTTTAACAAGAAAATATAAAGGGAAAGTTAAACCAATGTTCAGGAGATGCAAAAATCATAGGCATTTCTGCTAATCTTACGCAACTTCATAAGAAGATAATTGAAGATAAACATTTAATTCCAATATAATTTGTAACTATAGTACACACTCACATACTTCATTTCATGTATTTATGTTGTCTACTGTTGTGCAGCTGGTGAAAGAGTGGAATGTCCTTTTCTGAGTATTGAGCCAGTAGAAATGTGAGATTATTGGAATCACAGTAAAAAATTAAAACACATCTTGCCTTCACAACATTCTTTTGGGTTCGTTTTCAAGAAGAAAAATGTAATAGGTTTCAAATAGCAAATTAAAACGCTGACCAGGTTGCACAGTCATTTTTATGATACTAGTGCCACTTCTAACTCTCCCATGACAAATAGAGATAACCCCACCATCTGTCCCACAAAGGCTGTCAAAAGTAAGGTGGGAAAAAAGTAATTTGAAGAATGAATGGTAAAGGGAGGAACGTGTTTGAAAATGTCACAATGAATCATGTGCACTTGCATTTTTATCATATAATGAGGTGTATTTAGGTCAAAAATACATAAAACAGAATAATCATCAAGCCAAATGAAGCACCTCAGACTATACAGTACCCATTGATCTAGTAGTTTAAAAGGAGAGGCCCAGTCAGTTGAATATATATTTTGTTTCTTCAAAGAGCAAAAGTTAAAAGATTTTATTTTCTCCATTTTAGAAAGTGAGTTTGTTGGTGGGAAAAATGATCTACCCATATATACATAGAAAGCCACTAATATCTAGTAAGAATCGCAACAAATCAAGGCTCATCCCATCAGGACTGAGTACAAGGCTTATCTACACTGATAAAGAAGCTTGTCCACCACAAGACACACATATAAACAAGCACACAGGAATAATGACCCTAGTTCAAATGTCTTGGGGTGGTTGCAGGAAAACAGAGCACACAGACATAGGGAACTTGCAGGCCAAGAAAAGCAAAGACCCACAAGCTGTGAGGCTGCAGTGCTAAACAACCACATAGTCACCACGCTGCCTATAATACGGTACAGGTACTGTAGTGTAAATGAGTATACGTTTCCATTAAAATGAATTTAAACAGAAATATAATATACAAGGCAATTATAAAAAAAAGTTTTCACCTTAATGAAAATAGCCAAAATTAGCCAAGGGTTAATAGCCATAAAATACAAAAGAATGCTATCTCGTCTAACTCAGAAACTTGTGTGACCAATGAGGATAAGGTAAGAGCTAGTTGATTTTGTTTTTTTAGTTTGAGATTCAATAAAAATCTGATTTTGGCATCTGTTATAGGAATCACCATTTACAAATGAGCCTGCATACCTCAATCTAGGAATCTATTTGGAAATTATGACAAAATAATGACATATCTTTCTAACTGTTGATCATTTCCAGCTATCACTGAAATACCTGTGAGTAGGAGTAAGATAATCCATATTGCACATATTTTTGCCTGCCAAGAACGAAGCAAAGCAAATACCTTTCTTTAAAACCCACTTGAGCCGTAGAAGATACAGTACCACATAATAACAATATAAAATACAATTGAAAGCAGTTTTAAATCATTCATCCAAAATGGAGACTTGCATAGTAATACAAAATCTAATGTTTTGAAGAATACTTTTGTGTCTACTCTGTACATACAATATATTGAGTGTACCTTTTGCATTCTCTATGTTAAGAAAAGATACATTAATCAGAAAACAGTATACTACATATACAGTATACACACATTTGCTAGAATGAGGTAATTTAAGGTACTGGAATTGGCAGAGTGGAACTATTTTGTTACTGTACATTAAATATGAGATATGACAGAATCTCACGCCTTGATTAACCTTGAGACATTACCTCCTTATAATCTTATAATCTGGAGCCCAGTATGTGTAATCACGAAATTTCTTCATTCACCTAGGCCACTTTTTAAAGAATAACCTGCGATTATGTACTTCATTACATCATCTCTTGAGTTCTACCAACAATTAAGACAGCAGAAACTAAATTTCTCAGACCACAGATTACCTACTGATGGTTGTGGGGTTGCTCTACAGTCTGAAATGTTCAACCACCTAAAATTCATACTGAATACATGTTTAAAATAAACTTAACCCACTAAAGTACTTCATATGCACCATTTAATATTAATTAAATTATTTTTCAGCCCTTTTACAAGCAATGATTGCACAAAACGAATGCAGAACAAATGATTAGCCAAGTGCTAATTTGTTGCTGTTGCTCACTGATGTGTTTTAAAAGTGGTCAATGCATCACTCAGAAGTCAGAAAAATAATATCCACACAGTCTTTGTCACAAATTAAACCTAAGACAATTTACTTAAATTTAGTGTCCCAAATGAGTTAGCTTGATAAACATTTAACTGATTTAACTGCATGTTTTGATAACTTAAAAATTCATTTGACAGCTACAATAAAAACGTAAGAAAGGCTGCAAATGAGAGGAGATTATATGGTCCATCTAGCCAAGTTAAAGAAGCTAGGGTTTTGGCTTCAACAACATGTGTGGGTCATACTCCCATAACCCACAACCCTTTGTTTAAAGAAGTACCTCCTGCATATTCATGAATAACTATGAGCCTTCTACACAATGTCTACTTTGTGACCGCTGGTTAATGTTTCACCACTAATATAGAAGAAATCCACCGGGTTGACTTGGCAAGTTCCTCTGTTTCGTGGGAGCATGTTAGACTAGTGAATAGTAAGCATCTTCTAATTTGTTCAAGCAAGAACAGTCATTTACTTTAGAAACCCAACCTGGCCTTGCCTACAAAGGCTCTATGGAAGGATCAGTAAGGTAATCATTGGCGTATTCCCCTTAACAACAAAACCTGAGGAGGCAAACACTGGGCATGCCAATGGTCTCTAGCAAAGACTGAAAGGCCATCATGATGAGGACTTGGTTAAGCTTTTCATTACAGTAGGCCTCCTGAACTACTACTTTATTATATCACAAGTAAAACGATGTATCATTTCATTGAAGAGAGTTTAAATCGAATTTGTCTACATCAGACAGATCTGCCTGGCTTGCAAAGGCTTTTCTTAATTTCACATAAAATCAATGGAGTCGATTTCCGTTACTTTCGATTCTGTTACTTTTGAGCACTAATGACAAGACAAGTGTCCTAGGCCGTTTTATTGGATTCATCTTTTCAAGAACATAAATCTACAGTTTGCATGATGCTGACACAGAAGACAGCAAGTACAGAGAGATGCTTTGCCAGTAAGAAAGACATCACAACTATTAATTAATAAAACAAATAACAGCACATCTATATAGGTTGTAGTAGTTCAGGTGGGTAGCTGTGTCAGCATGCATAGGCTGCAAAGGAACAAGTTTTTCAGCATGGAATAAACCTATTACTTGTTCCTGTACATCTACTGTATATAGGACTGGAACTGTATATAGTACAATGACGTTTTGTGTTGAACATCAAAAGTATTGTTCCTAACATCCATCAGCTATGCCCATCTGCTATAAGCAAAAAAAAAAAAGATCCTAAAAAAGTAAACCTACAAGTCAAGTTTCAATCAGCAGCCTCTTAAAACCTTTTATCATGTTATGAAAGGGGATACTACACTATTAGTTCCATGTTCATTATATATACTGTAGAAAACATTACCTTTTTACTTTTTCAGCAGTAAGAAAAAGAGCTATATAATTCTGTATAATTCTTCCGTGGTGCTAATTTAAGATTTCCTGAGGCCAATTTAAGTTTTCATTTTAGATTTAGATAAAATCCACTCTACCACACTATACTGCCAGCATCTGCCGAGGAAATGGAAGAAGAAAGAATAAACATTTTGGACAAATATTAAGATCGATCATAATTAATGGTTAAATCATGAGCACTAAAATGTCACAAAATTGTAAGAAATTAGTTTAATATATATATAGTTTTTTACTTAATGAGTTAAATTAAAATGTTGATAAACTGGCATGTACTGTATGGTCTTGAAACCTGTCATGAAAGACTATACAGTGAATATTACTGAAGCAAAGTTTATTGAATATTTTTTATAATTTATCTTGCCATTACTAAGGAATAACAATTGTAAATATAAAAATAAATTTGATTTTCATTAGTATTAAGTACTGTACCAGACGTAAACACTCATGCTGAAATATTTATTGTTTAGTCTCAACAGTGCATTTTGCTGCATTCTTTAAATTCAACTTTAAAAAAAACAAAGAGGCAAGAGTCAGACAGACAGAAAGGATATCAGATCTAGCTGAGATAGTGCTATGGGAAATTGAATATTTCCATTGTCAATAAGATGCGTTTAATGAAAAATGCTTAGTGGTTTACTGTCAGTATCTGACACACCCTCAGAATGACAATTAATGCACGGTGCTGTTTAAACTTGTTCTCTGCCTAAAAGCTTTTCAAATACAGTAACACTTGAAAATAGTTTTAGGCCATGCAAGCAAAAATGAAGAGTGAAACTAAAAATGGCATCGCTTCAGAAAAAAGTCCCTCACACTTAACCAGAATTCTGGCACACCCCAATTCCCAAAATTAAGAAAAACATAAAAAAACAAGTTTTGAACAGTCTGTCAAGTAGTTTTATCTTGACAGTAAGTCTAAATTAGGTAAAACACCTGTGGTGGGATGATCACACCTGAGGTGCTTACCTCACATATATCCTTAAATAATCAAATATTATGCAACTTATAGGCACTTTAGTGACTTCTCTATATAGTATGATAGGGCATGATTCAACAGTTGTCTTTTTCCATTGTGTAACTGAAAACCAATATATCATATTTTTTAAAGGTTTAGATGTCAAGAGTTATATAAAAGGTGAATTTGGCACAGATAACAAGATTCCGAAGTGACTAATGAATTTTAGCATGTTTTTTATGTTTTTCATGGCATGTCTGAAGGAACAGAAGAGATTTGTATAGCTGCGACTGTACAGTATATAACATCAAGAGACATCTGTTGAGGCCTTGGTCTATTGGTCTACAGTTATACTACATAACACAGGAGTTTTATTGTCATCTCCTTCAGGACTATAATGATACAACCAAAAAACATTCACCTTTAACCTCAGCTAGACTCAAACTAAGAATTTCCTGAGTGCAACTAAAATTCATAAAACTGTAAAATACTCCAACTCTATTCACCTACTCTTCCTTGATTGATTTTAGACATAGTTGTGATTACTCCTAAAATTTAAATAAGCATTAGCTGTAGACATCTCCCAAGCCTACAACCAGAAATAATAATGAACATACTGTTGGTCTGCTCTGTTTATTTCTTGTTCTGTCCTCTCTTGTAGGTCTCTCAAATGCTGGGAGAACTCCTGGGTTTGGTCAATGTGTGGTTTCAGAATTGCTAGTCTGTTGATGATGACGTCCGATATCTGTTGGACAAAGAAGAACAAGTCTTAGGACAAGGGAAAAAAATGTTGTGAGGTTTGACGAGAGCTTGATTGAATATTCTGAAAAGTTCAAAACAGTTCTTGTTGAGAATTAACATTGAGAAAATGAATAGACATTTTGTACATGAAGCACAGCCTAAGTCAACCTGCCTACACCCTGCTTCTTTAATGGAATCTGTTTTTGTTGTTGATTATTATTATTTCATGTTATTGTATTTTATAATCCTTTTCAGAATCACAGTTAACTCCTCTTCTCTATAAGATACACTCCCCATTCTAAAACCATGAAACATTCAAAAATATTCTCAAATAAAAGGTGCAGTTTTTAAACATTGTGGGCTTTGGGAAACCAGTTTATGTATTAATTGTAGACGCTAAGCTCTTCTTTTTGGGGGACTAACAAAACTGGCTTGGTATTCAAGCAGCGACACCTTAACTTATATGTTTACACCTCTATTGTGGAGAACAATCTCTTCTCATTGTCACCTCAAGATATTATTCAGTATGAAAACAAAGAAGAGTACTGTTAGAAAAATTCTGCCACCTTGGTACACTTCCAAAAACTTAACAGCCTAAAAATGACAAAAGGTGCACACAAATTCCTTCATGGGTCATTCAGAAGTTATCCATGAATTCCATATTCCACATGATCCATCAATGAATAAAGATAAATGAGACGCATTATCCACCAGGATTTTTAGATGTCTTTAATACCCACAATTAAAAACAGGCAATTGATTAAATGCTTCTCAATCAGCACAGGGGACCTTGAATGAATCCTGGCTACCTGCTAATCTAGAGCTGTCATCTGCACCTTTAGTTTCTGTAGTTATAGCTTTCTTTAGTTGTTATCTGATTGAATGGAGAAATGTAATATGGCACAAAATGGTGGATTCTATGTTTAACAATTAAGATTTGAGATTCTAGAGAAAGCACAAGTTTAAGATACAGAGGAAGTACAGTATTGCTTTTTTGTAGACTAGAGTAAGATTTCCTCCGACGGCTAGCAAATACACCGTTCTACTCAATGATTTCAATACTTTTCACACATAGCTGGAAACTCATTCTTGACCATGTCTAAAAAAACACCTCCCTCATTTGACTCCTGTTATATCAATAGCAAACTATTACCACTGCCATCAGTCAGTCCATTAGCATAACACACATCTGATATACTGGTGACATATTGTAGCCTCCTTTCTAGCATGTCCCTTCTACCCGCTACCCAGGAGGGGTTTCAACTGTCAACGGACGATTCTCGTACACTTTTTGATCAGTCACGTGGGAGCAGCGTAACACTCTTTCTGCCTCGAGTGTGGAAGGCTCAGAATGTTGCTTCTATTCCCGATTTGGCATCAATCTTGGCTTCTCGTGACAGTCATCTGAAGCTACAAATCTAGTGTTAGACAGCTGTTTACTTCTGAAAGCTAATTTTTTTGTGAACAGGAAATACATTCAAATTATTTTCTTGTAAGCTACATATTAATGAGCAGTGAGTGGTTAAAGCTGCACAGCATTCACTCACAACTGGCAGCCCACTGAAGCTCAGCAGGTGTGAGCCTGGTCAGTACCTGGATGGGAGACCTCCTGGGAAAAACTAAGGTTGCTGATGGAAGAGGTGTTAGTGGGGCCAGCAGGGGGCGCTCACCCTGCGGTCTGTGTGGGTCCTAATGCCCCAGTATAGTGACGGGGA